GGAGATTTACAAGATAAAATACTGCAGAAAGAAACAATTAAAATAAGAACATATTAAAAATAGGGACGCGGGTGGCTCTGTGGTCTAAACCACAGACCCCAGGGCTTGCCGATCAGAAGGTCAGTGGTTTGAATCCCCGCAATGGGGTGAGCTCCCATTGTTCGGTCCCAGCTCTTGCCCACCAGCAGTTCGAAAGCATGTCAAAGTGCAAGTATATAAATAGGTACCACTCTGGCGGGAAGGTAAATGGTGTTTCCATGCACTGCTCTGGTTTGCCAAAAGTGGCTTAGTCGTGCTGGTCACATGAGTCAGAAGCTGTCTGCAGTCAAACGCCAGCTCCCTCGGCCAGTAAAGCGAGATGAGCGCCACAACCCCAGAGTCGTCCGCAACTGGACCTAACGGTCAGGGGTATTAATAATGCAAAATATGTATGGTGGTTTTTCAACTAATTTTTCCTCAGAGTAGGCCTGGTGAAATTAATGAGCATGGCAGAGTTAGGTTCGTTAACCTAAATAGCTCTACTCTGAATAAAACTTAGTTGAGTAAAACCTAGTCTGAGTAAAACTTACCACCCCTAAAATGTTCACCCAATAACATTGGAAATAAAATTGTAAGTATCATCATGCCATTATACAAAAGTGTGGTACAATCACACTTGGAATACTGTTTACAATTCCAGCACCACACTACAAAAAGGATAACGTGGAGTTAGAGAAGATTGAGAGAATGGCAACCAACATGACAAAAAGCTTTTTAGTTTAGAGAATAAGGTGACTAAGAGGGGACATGATAAAAGGATGGATGGATTGAGGAATGTGTTTTGCTTCCTCTCTCATAGCGTTAGGATTCACAGACATGCAATGGAGGTCAACACTGGAAGATTCAAGTCAGACAAAAGGGAGCATTTCTTCACACAATGCATAATGAAACTATGGAATACCTTCCCACAAGACATTGCAACAGCCACCATCTTGGATGGCTCTAAAATATTAAGGTAAAGGTACCCCTGCCCGTACAGGCCAGTCTTGCCAGACTCTAGGGTTGTGCGCCCATCTCACTCAAGAGGCCGGGGGCCAGCGCTGTCCGGAGACACTTCCGGGTCATGTGGCCAGCGTGACATCGCTGCTCTGGCGAGCCAGAGCCGCACACGGAAACGCCGTTTACCTTCCCGCTAGTAAGCGGTCCCTATTTATCTACTTGCACCCAGGGGTGCTTTCGAACTGCTAGGTTGGCAGGTGCTGGGACCGAGCAACGGGAGCGCACCCAGCCGTGGGGATTCGAACCGCCGACCTTTCGATCGGCAAGCCCTAGGCGCTGAGGCTTTTACCCACAGCGCCACCCGCTGTGGGTAAAATATTAGGATTAGACAAATTCATGGAGGGTACGGCTGTCACTAGCTACTATTCATGATGGCTGTGTTCTGCTTCCAATATTAGGTGGGAATCAGAGTCATAGTGGGAAGCTCAATGAAAATACCAACCCAGTGCGGCATCTCTAAAAAAGGCAAATTTCATGCTAGGAACCATTAGGAAAGGAATTGGGAATAAAAACTGCTGATAGCATAATGCTGTCATATAAATCCATGATGCGACTGCATTTGGAGTACTGTGTTACAGAATGTCAGAGCTCTTCCCTCCCCCAGCTGAGTTCTCAGGTTTTTCTGAGGAGAGGAAATATCTGCTAATCCAGTGTATAGATACAGCCAGAGTGCTTTTTTGGCAGTATGAATGCTGCCCTCTAGTGTCCCTCATGTAAGTCATTTTCTGCACAGCTGGTTTTTATATAATTTTTTGTTGTCGATAGAGCTGGGCATAGGCAGGAGCAGACCTCTCTTCTCCTGAAGTGCAGAAAATGTTGTGCTTTGCTGCCACAAAGTGTCTGTTGTAGAGAACAGCAATGCTGAGGAGCACACACACACACATCCACACACCTGTTCAGCTAGCTGGGATTATGAATGCATTGAAATCTGTGTCACCTGTGCTCTCCAACTTTTTTTAGTGACTTAAATGTGAGTTTTACAACAAACAGTGAGGTGTCTGGTTCTCCCTTCATTAAGAGGGTGTTGGGGATGGGCTACTGGCAGTGGCGTAGGAAGGGGGTGCAGGCCGCCCCGGGTGTTATCTCTGAGGGAGGTGACAAAAAGCCGGCTGAACTCTTCTTGACACGGTCTCCTTTGAGGCAAAGGAGGCGTCCAGGGCGGTGGTGGGCTGGGCAAGGTCTGGGCACGGTATGTTTGTGTGTTTGCACACAATTACCTCAAGGAACTGAGCGGGGTTGAGTTACATCGCGTCCCCTTCCCACCTCTGTGGCCGGGGCCGGGCGCTCTCCCTGCCTGTCCATGTCCCGCCCTCGCCTCAGGTGCTTTGTGTGTGTCTGTGTGGCTCACGGGGCAAGGCAGGGTCCCTCTGGGGCTGACACGGGCTCCCAAAAAGGGCGCGGAGGCGGGAGAGGCTGCGGTCGCCTGCTGTCACCTTTCATTTGAGGGCCAGGGCTGCACGTTTGGGTTTCTTTTCCTTTGTAATGGGCTGTGTTTTTGAAGTTGCGAATAAATTAACAGGGCAACTCTTTCCTCCTCTCTCTCTCTCTCTCTGTGCGCCCCCTCCCACCTTTCCACGTCCCCCCGCTTAACTGTTTCCTGCCTCACTTTAAATCCTTTCTCATGTGGAAAGACACCTTTGGGAAGCGATTTTGCCCTTTCGGCTCCTTTCCCCTAGAATTATAGTATTGTAGAGTTGGAAAGGACCCTGTTGAGGATCATCTAGTCCAAACATCTGCAATGCAGGAATATGCAGCTGTTGTATTTTTCCCCCATTTGCTCTCAGCCCTCGTTTGCCCTCCTCCTGCTATGTAAATTTCCATCTCTCTCTCTCTCTCTCTCTCACACACACACACACACACCCCGTTGCCTCGGATGCTACTCCTACTCAGAGTAGACTCATTGAAATGAATTAAAAATCCAAACATTAATTTCAAAGGGTCTGCCCTAAGTAGGATTTAGTTGGATGTAGCCTGTTATTATGACCAAAGTATCTTAATCAAAAAGATCTGCACAAACCAGTTTATCTGAGTGCACTATTCTCAGGGTGGGGGACTCATTTATTTATAATTACTTAATCATATGGGACTAAATTGCATTATGTTGTAAGGACCTTTCATAAAATCTTAGAATTGTAAAGTTGAAAGGGACCCCAAGGGTCATTAAGTTCAACCCACTGCAATTCAGGAATCTCAACTAAAGCATCCATGACAGATGGCCATCCAACCTCCGATTACAAACTTCCAAGGAAGGAGAGTGCAAAACCTCCCAAGGAAGTCTGTTGCACTGTTGAAGGGCTCTTGCTGTCAGAAAAGTTCTTCCTGAATCTCCTCTCATGTAACTTGAAGCCGTTCCAGGCTAAACATACCCAGCTCCTTCAAGCACTCCTCATAAGGCTTGCTTTCCAGACCCTTGATCATCTTGGTTGCCCTCCTCTGCACACCTTCCAGCTTGTCAATGTCCTTCTTAAATTGTGGCGCCCAGAACTGGACACACTATTCCAGGTGTGGTCTGACCAAGGCAGAGTAGAGTGGTACTTGATCTAGAGACTAGACTTCTTTTGCTGCAGCATCACATTGTTGACTCATATTGTGGTCTACTAAGACTCCTAGATCTGTTAACATATACTGCTGGTAAACCAAGTGTCCCCCATCTTGGTGCAGCTGGTTATTCTTGCCTAAGTGTAGAACCTTTCAGGCTGAAAGGGACTAGTGGGACTTAGAACAGAAAGGAAAATCCCTTCTGATGGCCTCCAGTGCCACTTGCTGCAATTTGGGGATTTCTTAAAACATGGAATTTTGTAAAGCACTTACCTAGATTAGGGAAGGTTTAAGAAGGCAGCCCTCATCTGACCACACCATCCATAGGCACCAACTCCCTATGGCTGAGGGGACCTCAGACCACTCCACCCCCTGCAAAACTGGGATGGGGCTAAGCCCACCCATAGGGGCCAAACCTCATTGTGATGGGCCTCGCCGGTCCTTCCCAAGCCTGCGATGAGCCCCATTGGGCTTTCCCATGCCTGCGGCAGGCTGCGAAAAGGCCCAATGGGGCTTGTTGCGGGCACAGAGGGGCACCTATGACACCACCTAAATCAACTGTACTTCAGCACTGTACTTATGGCTGTTCACAGAAGCAGCATGCAGGTATGAGAGATTACATCCTCTTTATTGCTCCTGCTTTGGGTGCTTTTGCTGGGCATGAGGACCAGCAAGAGGGGCGGCAAACTCAGTGACCGTGCCGGGCAGCAAAAACCTTATCTACACCACTGATGTAAGTATCTAATTTTCTTTCTTTTAATAATTTCAATGGGGAGGTTGACAATAAATTTTCTGCACTGGGAAATCCACCTGACCTTCCTACGCCAGTGGCTACTGGCAGGCTGAGGTTGGGGTGCCTGTAGCAGGTCACCATTGCATTGCAACCATCGTGTCCTAGCTGAAAGGAGCCCTAGGGAACTACATCTCCCAGGCTCCCTGCTACTGCAGATGTTGCTGTTCATGGGCAGTAGGTAGAGGCTCGAGAGAGAGCCGAAGCAAGACAAAGTCAGACATTGTTGCTGTTGGTGCATGCTGCTCCTGTCCCACCAGAAAAAAATGGCGTAGAAGTGCCTCCTCCTGCTGCCTTTTCTCACTGTTGTCATAGTTAATGCAGAATCATGTCTGGTGAACCTGCTTTATACTATTGTTATGTTGTTGTTTGCAAACTGAAACGCCCACAAAACGGATTAAAGTATTTTAATTCTTTTTAAGAGAATTGCTAATGGAAGTGATTCACTTTTATGACTAAGAAGATGTTCAGCTAAGACAAGTTATTCAGAGACCTGAGTTTTTTCTTCCATTTGCTTCCATCTTTTATCAGCTTCCCTTCTGCCCTAGATGGAGCTCTAACTGGATGGTTGAAGATATCCTTGTGGCATTCACTTTAGTCTCGCAACTGTGGGGTTTTTTTTAATTTTTAATTTGAAAGACTCCCACTTCATATAGCTGCATCCTATGTGGTTCTAGCAACAGATGAGCTGAGGAAATTAACATGGAGGACAGGCCTCCTGTGTAGTTTTTGTATCGGAGCCACTGACCCTCATTTTTATGTGAGGACTACGGGAAGATTTCCACGTAGCCTGTTCCTGCCACATAATTTTAAATTCTGAAAATCTATCCCCACAAGCATTTCTGAAGCTGCATCAGTTTATGAGTCCTGTTGCTATTAGGAGTCACTGGGACGGAACTTGAACTCTTCCAACTGTCAGCCTGTGGAACCCAAGATAAAAGCAAACAGTTGGCTGGCTCTCTTGGAAGTGGCAAAGATGGCTCAGCAAAACTGACACAGCCTCGGCAAAGAAGGCATGTGAGAACCTTCCCTGAAGGAAGGACAGTTAAAATTATTTCCCTTTTAGAGTTAGAGCAGCCATTATTTAAACAAGGGCGGGGGGTGGAATAGCAGGGATTGTAAAGCCCCATATTTTTTGTTCTGTTTGCATGGAGAGCTTTCTGTGGATTTTTTTGAGAAAAACAGAGGGATTGGGCATCTTTAAATTTGTCATTTACTAGCCTTGTAATCAAATCATATAAAACTGGAAATGGGTGACCTCTCCAAAGTTTGTGCTGGTGATATGAACCCTACCATAAGCTTTGGGTCACCCCAAATCATACATTATCATCTTCAGGAGACTGCCTTCTACAAGACAGCATGCAGTTACAATTGGCCCAATGATTTTGTTTTGCTGGATTTTTCTTTTGCTGCATTCCATTGGGGAGTATTACTGTATTTGCATGTATCTGACTCTCATTTGTAATGTTTTACCTGGATTTTTAGTAATGCTCTATTTAAGACAGAAAAACTACTTAGAGATTACTTTTAAAATGTGAAGTGGTATAGAAATGGTTTAAAGAAAGAAAGACATGTTTAATTTGGGCACAAGATAATGCCAAGTATGGCGCCCCCATGCCAATAATAGGCAATGTAGCAATTCATTAATCTGCTGAAGAAAGTATTCACACTTTCTGTTTAATGATAATAATGATATAATTATTTACATTATTATATTATATTATATTATATTATATTATATTATATTATATTAATAATGATATAATTATAATTACAAGTTGCCAATATGGTGTAGTGGTTAGAATGCTTTATAATATTATTAACATTGTAGGAAGGACAAAGAGACTCTTTTGCATATATTGGGAGTATTAAATAGATCTTTGGTATTACTTTGGTTTTATCATTATGCTTGAGGCTTTCAAATGAGTTTTTTTCTTAATGTGAATACCCACATTCAGCTTTCCGTTGTTCTACCATATATCTCTGTTGAAAAAACAGGAGTAATGGGGGTATCTATGATTGAGTATTATTGTTTCCTGCTCATAAGAAATAATTTGATCCTGCACATACCAGTTGCTTATAGTCTGCATCTGGGGTGGGAACTAAATCTTCTTTCTGCCATAGGTGAACCCAGTGTTTGGAACAGGAAGCAGGTTTCAGCTTGCAGTTTCCTAAGGGGACTCTTTGATGACCAAGCATGTTGCTCTTATCCGCATCCTTGTTGTCTTCCTTGGTCACTGTACATATCATGTGACTACTGGGGGACCAGCTTTATATATAGCTTTGAATTAAATGCACATTTATATTATTTTTACAATTACAGATGGCGCTGTTGCAGCTTTATCTTGTGCTTGCAGCTGTTCTACAACTTTCATCAGGACTTAGCTACAATTTAAATGGTAAGTTGTGTTTCACTTTATTTCACCTTCCTATTCTTGCATACGGGTTGGTTAGTTACTAGTGTACTGAACCCTGCAGCTATGCATTTGCATGTGCTGTGATTTGCAAAGGACTCCATAAAGATCAGAACTTTATTTTGTCTGAGTGATGTATCACTATAGGGCCCACCTTTAAAAGGGAAATGTGTGCACACAGTTTGGGGAACTGAAGCCAATATTTTATATATATATATATATATATATATATATATATATATATATATGCAGGTTTTGGTGTCCTCGGGTGTCTTCCCGTGTAAAAGTTGGGGTGTCTAGGCGACGTTTCGACGAGGTCTCACTCGTCATCTTTTATCATCTATATATATATCTGCTGCAGGTTCAAGAAGCTTCTTTAAAAAAAAACACCATATTAAAGAGCAAGAGATATTTGCTAATGATGCTGAATGTGTGTTGTCTAGGAGTCAAGTGAGCCACAGTGAGAGAGCTTGGGAAGATACTGACTGAAGCACAAAGGTTAATTTGGTTGTCCAAACCCATGCAGTCTAGTCTTGGTTTAAAGATTATCATAAATGTATTATTTATTTTCTTATGGCCCACCCTAATTCCCATGTCTCCCAGTAAAACTTCCTTCCTGAGACTGCTAATAATATCAAATGTTGTTGATGTGATTATTACTACTGTATTTTTTTATTTATAACTCACAAAAGCCAATGTGATCTATTTCAGTCCCCAATTTCATTTTTTATTTGAGTTTCAGGATATTCTAGTTCTATAATATCATCTTTGAATATATTAGTGTTCAATATATTTTTTTTCCTCACTCAGTGGTGGCCAATTCAAGTTTTTCTTGCTACACAGGAGATGAGCGGAATATGTCATCTAAGGCAATTAAACTGTTTCTTTCAGATAAAAGCTTGGTAAGTTTCCAGCAATGTATTTCCAGTTGCAATAGAATGGGGAGTATCTCAGCAAATAATGCATTTGTATTATGGCAGTGGGGAATAACCTGCCGATACACCATTGTTTGGCTCAGCAGAATTAGCTAATCAATTCTTTTAGCTATTTCCCTCCCCTCCCCTCCAAATTTAGGGAAAGGGAAGGGAAGGAGAAAATAATTAAAATAAGGGCATGGTACTATTTTATAAATAAATACCAACAACAGTAAGAAAGAACTTGTCAGTTCATATTATGGATACCGATAACCATTGGTGCATAAATCATAGAAGTTCATTTAAGTTCTCCTAATGTCTAGATAGATATCCACACAAAGTTGATATCTAGATGACATACCATATTTTTTCGTCTATAAGACGCCCCTGTCTATTTTGGGGGCCTCAAAATTTAGAAGATAGGCGGGATTGAGCTTTTGGGGAGGATTATTTGGGGGGAATGCCAAAAATCGTTCACCTGCCAAAACGCAGCACACAACCGAGTGATGCAAGCGGAAACCACCTATCAGCTCCCCGATTTCCGCCAGCAGCCACCAATCATGCTCCCGCTTGCAACAAGAGCAGCTGTCTATTAGCTTCCGCAGCGGCAATCAGGAGGGCTAACGGTGGCGATCAGGCAGCTGTGATGCAAGCGGTTGTGTGCTGTGTTCCGGCGGGTGAGCGATTTTTGGGATCCCCCCCCCCACAATCAAGCAGCCAATGCCGAAAATTGCTCAGCTGCCACAATAAAGCGCAAGCCCGAGTTTTTAAGTGGCGATTGACCGCTTGATTGTTGGGGCTTGCGCCAATCTTGGGCTTGCGCCAAAAAACCTTTCGCCCGTCCCTTCTCAGCACTACCTATGTATAAGACAAGCCTAAATTTTGAACCTCATTTTTGGGTCAGAAAAGCTCGTCTTGTACACAGAAAAATGTGGTTTGTTTAAATGGATTATTATCTCTCATCACTAACTTAATCGGAAGCGGTTAGACTCAGAAGCTTAGCTAAATGGAGTGAAATATTATTGGTTATTCAGACTCCCCTTGGATCTAACAACACCATATGCGATTTAAAGAACTTTTATTTATTTATTGGCATCAAAACAAAACATGGTATTGCAGTTTGTTTAAATAAACAACAAAAGGGTGTTCTAGCTTCTGAACTTGCTGCAGCTATGAATATTGCCAGGTAATTTCTTTTACATGCTGCAGGGCTAATGAGTCTGGAATCAGGATTCTCCCTTTCTTCCCTCCTGCCATATGGACAGCATGAACTTCATGGAGCTACATCAGGGGCTGCCAACCTTGGGGGGGGGGCAGTGGACACATTTTGAATTTGAAGGAAGTGCTGTGAGTGCCAGTCACAAAATGGCTGCCATGGGGAGTGTGGCATAACACATCCTGGCTGCTGTGCGGGGCATGGAAAAAAATTAGACACAGTACAGCCATTGCTGCTGCTCCCACCCGCTTCCTGAACAGCCCCCCCCCCCCATGGTTGGCAAGCAAACAGGATGGACCAACAGGCAAGAAGGGAAACCATCCCTGCCAGTTTTTGCCCTGTACAAATCCTTCGAAACCAACCAGATTCTGAGGGGGCATTTTTTCTCTTTTGAGATAAAACTTAAAATAAAAGGCCAGGGACCACCAAGCTGGTGCCTGTAGGCACCATGGTGCTCAGATCCTCGAAGAAAGACCCCGTAGATGCTGGGTTAGCAGTTCCTGAGGTAACTGCGAAGAAAGACACCTAGAACAGGCGCCGGCTCCGCATTTATAGATCTATGCCTATGAAATAGACACAGTGGCCAAAACTGCCTCAGGATACTGTTATTTTTGCAGGAAGGGGCCTTGGGGTGCAACAGAAGATAAACATTTTAGGCCTTGCCTGAAGTAGTCTCTCCCCTCACAGTTCTTCCTCCAGGCACAGCTCCCTTATGAGGAGTCCCAGGGCTGGAGGGTAGGGCAGGGCAGGTAGAAGAAGGCCTGGCCTGGTGAAGTCTCTCCCCTCACAGGTCTTCCTTCAGGCATTGCTCCCTTATGAGGAGTCCCAGGGCTGGAGGGTAGGGCAGGTAGAAGAAGGCCTGGCCTGGTGAAGAAAGCCTTGCCAACACTGCCTCAGGATATTGTCAGGGAAAGGAAGAGGAAGGATGGCAGGAAGGGGCCTTGGGGTGCAACAGAAGGACAAACTTAAACATTTTAGGCGTTTTGGCTCATTAAACCATCTATGGCCTTTTAAATGTGTCGGGGGGGGGATCTATTGTGGGATTTTTTGCTATTATGTTACATATTTTGTGCTTTTATATTGTAAACTGCCCTGTGATATTCAGGTATATTAATTTGTTAGATAATGATCATTTTCTCTACTTTAACCCTAAACTGCCTAATTCTCTGTGGCACTTGCCCATGCCAGCCAAAAGCAGGCAAAATCACCTGAGAGAGGGGGAGGGCAAGTCCCACAAAATGAGGATTTCTACCTTCCTTTCCTTTATGGCTCCTTAAAGCCTTATTTATTGCAGCTTCCGCTTTTGAAATCAACAGTCCAGTTTGTTAGGTTGCCATTTAAAGTTTTAATAATTCCAGATGTTGTGGATATGTGCTTCGTATGTTAATCCTGGGTTTTTTTCCCCTTGTTAAAGATTGTCCGCTGTTATCTGTATAATATCAATAAGCCCGACACCCTGGAGAACAGACGGAAGAATCTAGTTCTTTTTACTTCAGCTGGTCTTGCTCCCAGCATCCAGATCTTCAACAGTACCTACTCCAAAGTCTTCTACTTCAAAATGACTCTGGTAAAGCATTGCGGAAGGGCTCATAGCACATCATTTACATGCAAAAGGTCCCAGGTTCACTCCCTGGCTATTTCCAGTTAAAAGGGATCAGGTAGCAGGTGGTCACCTCTGCCTGAACTCAGGACAGCCACTGTCACCGGATACTTATTAAACAATGCCATAACATTCGGCTGGAAACTTACAGTGGCCCAATGTGTAGCCCAAGGACTGCATGCAGTCCTCAAGACCTTTTTTGTTGGCCCTCAGCAACATTTGACGCCCCCTCAGCCCTTGCATTGCCTTCCCAAAGCCAGCTAAGTGAGGTGCTGGGTTTGGGAAAGGAGGCGCAAAGGCTCTGGCAAGGTCCTAGAACCCTATTACCTCCTTCCCGAAGCTGGGAAAGCGCTAACTGCATCAAGGCAGTGTGGCCCACAGATTACATGGTCAGAGTACTCTTGCGGCCCACTTGGTATAAAAGTTGGGCTAGCCTGAGCTAGATGGACAAGCAATCTGACTTGGTTTAAGGCAGGTTCCTGAGGTGGATCTGCACTCATGGTTTTAAATGTTATTTCTAAGGTTTTAAACGTTATTTATAAGGGCTACCTGCAAAATTTCATGTTTGGATCTCAATGTTTTGTATAGACATGTCTGCCATATTGGATTTTATTTAGGATAAATGGGTCTTTTGGGAGCAAAATGTAACAAACAAACAAGACTTCAATCTATAATATCAGTTAGTCCAAGCATTTCTTTAGAACATGGGTAGGCAAACTAAGGCCTGGGGGCCAGATCTGGCCCAATTACGTTCTAAATCCGGCCCGCAGACAGTCGAGGAATCAGCATCTTTTTACATGAGTAGAATGTGCCCTTTTATTTAAAATGCATCTCTGGGTTATTTGTGGGACCTGCCTGGTGTTTTTACATGAGTAGAATGTGTGCTTTTATTTAAAATGCATCTCTGAGTTATTTGTGGGGCATAGGAATTTGTTCATTTTTTTTCTTCAAAACATACCGTGTATTCTCGAATATAAGCCAACTTTTTCAGCACATTTTTTATGCTGAAAAAGCCTCCCTTGGCTTATACTCAAGTGAGGTGGGCGGTGGCAGAGAGATGAGCCCTTTCTCGCCACTCGTCCCTCTGCCACCGCCCGTAAGCTATGAGACTATCAGCTACGAAAATTCATAATTGGAAAATCAGTCCGCACCTAAATGTATGTGACTCTTCAAGTATTTAAGACTAAAAATCTTGGGTTACCATCCTTTTTTTAAACAAAAGGGAGAAGGTGTGGATTCATGGAGTATTAAAATCAACCGAGAAGAGTTAACATATAATACAGGTGAGAGATTTATAATTTCCACTTATTTATCCTCACTGGCTATTGATGCTTCCTTGTGTTGTTGCTGCTGTTTTTGTACTCACGTAAGGTGGTGCCATTTTTTTCATTTCAAAAGAAAAATTTCGCACAAAATCCTGCTAGCAGGGGGGAAATTTGACAACTTGGTAGTGAGCATTTGGCACAATCTCAAATGGTGCATAAGTAGTATACCAACTTCAGTGGAGAGAAAGCAAGTTTCGGGATAATGTATATTGCACTTATTTTTGTAACTCACTCTATTTGGTGAAGGGTGTATTATAAGTCTGAATAGAAAAAAAGAGAAAAATAAATTGGCCAGAAAAAATATGCAGGAATGTTCATTACTAAGAATTCAGTTGAAGAGCAGTGCACCATCGTAGGCAACATTTGAGAAGAGCATGTAGGCATCATCAACTTTGGCGATCTCTCATAGCCGAGTAATATTGACGTAAGCATACAGCAATATCCACTTGTGTCTATCTGCAAGTGGAATGGGTTTCCACTTGTGCAACAAGTCTTTGCCCCCTGTGGACCCCTGAAATTTGCTCCAGAGGGTTTGGTCATGGGGATTGCAAGAGGGAGGAGAAAAGGAAACCATTTTGTGTGAGCAAAGGCCTGTTTGCTTGACGTTGGATATCACCCATAATACTTGCGTACTTATATGACTAATCTGTCTCTGTCTTTCTTGTACATGCTGCTGAAACAGATGTTAATCCAATTGAGGAATGGTTTGTAAAATTTAATATGCATCATGGTTTAAATATGTTCACTACTACGGGAACCTTGTTGGATATCGTACGAGGTACGTCATAGCTCATAGGGAGTGTTTGCAGTTTTGTAAGTAATTCTGGACTATTGGAAATTAGCACGGACACTAAGTATAAAGTTTTCTGAATTTATTCATATGATATGGAAAGTTATATTTATATTCCGCTTTTTTGGCCCAAAGTCTCCAAAGCAGTAAACAACATTGATACATATGAATAGAAAAGAATTGAATGATAAAACTGCAATACATCATCATCACAATAATAATAATTTATTATTTATACCCCACCCATCTGTCTGGATTTCCCCAGCCACTCTGGGTGGCTCCCAACAGAATATTAAAAATACAATAAAACATAATGTGTCACACATTAAAAACTTCCCTGAAACAGGGCTGTCTTCAGATGTTTTCTAAATGTCAGGTAGTTGTTTATCTCTTTGACATCTGATGGGAGGGCGTTCCACAGGGAGGGTGCCACTACTGAGAAGGCCCTCTGCCTGGTTCCATGTAACTTTGCTTCTCGCAGTGAGGGAACCACCAGAAGGCCCTCAGAGCTGGACCTCAGTGTCCGGGCTGAAAGATGGGGGTGGAGAGACTACTTCAGGTATACTGGGCCGAGGCCATTTAGGGCTTTAAAGGTCAGCACCAACACTTTGAATTGTGCTTGGAAACATACTGGGAGCCAATGTAGGTCTTTCAGGACCGGTGTTATATGGTCTCAGCGGCCACTCCAAGTTGCCAGTCTAGCTGCAACATTCTGGATTAGTTGTAGTTTCTGGGTCACCTTCAAAGGTAGCTCCATGTAGAGCGCATTGCAGTAGTCCAAGCATGCATCATTCTGGCAAATGAGTCCATGGGCAGATAGGGTCTCAGCCTAGGTACCAGATGGAGCTGGTAGAAAGCTGCCCTGGACACAGAATTAACCTGTACCTCCATGGACATCTGTGAGTCCAAAATGACTCTCAGGCTGTGCCCCTGGTCCTTCAAGGGCACAGTTACCCCATTCAAGACCAGGGAGCCCTCCACACCTGCCCGTCCCCCCAAAACAGTAATTCTGTCTGGTCAGTTGAAACAAAATATCATACTGGCAGGATTTCCAATGGCCACCATCATGAAAAAAGAGAGTATCCTCTGTGTGTGTGTGTGTGTGTGTGTGTGTGTGTGTGTGTATTTTACTAAGAACAGGTCTAAGGAAGGTATTCGTTACTTGAAGCGGTCTCCTAGTACTCTTCAATTTCCAGCAGACTTAGACAACCTCGTCTCTTCTGTATGCCTTCACCCACTTCTGTATTTCCCCCTACCTTCCACCACAGTGATGGCAGTCCCATTCCCATCCCCCACCCCAACCCTGGACCAGACTGATAACATCCCTTACTCACCTCCAAGGGTGTTCCCACAAATTTCAGAGATAGTCACATATTTCCTTCACTCAACTGTATTTTCTTTTTAAGTAAAAAGCAGAAAGAATTTTTGCTTTCTTAAACATTAGTGCTCTTTTGCAGATCCTCTTCTTCAGTGGTTTTGGACCCTTGGTGAAAACGTGGAAGTTAATGATACATTGTCTAAAGTAGCCAATATCAAAATAGCAAAAACTCCTTGTGCAAGTGATGTAGCAATAATTGGTCTGATTTATACAACAAGAAAAATAGGTAAGTGTCTTGCATTTTTACATAATTAGCTGATCCACCAGCTTCGTTTTCCAACTGGGTACAGAGGGATGTAAAAGTTTAAATAAAATAAGTGTACTTGTTTACTCAGAAGTAAGTCCCACTGTGTTGGCTAGGGCTTAATCCTATACTTGCTTGGGAGTAAGTCTCATCAAATGCAGTTGGTTTTGCTTGTGAATGCATTTGTTACACTTCTACTACACATGAGTGTTCTGCAACTAGCTGTTAACCCAGTGGCGTAGCGTGGGGGGTGCAGGGGGGGCCGTCCGCACCGGGCGTAACATCTGGGGTTAGGGCAAATCCACAGGTTAGGGGGCGCAAATCCACGGGTTAGGGGGCGCAAATCCACGGGTTAGGGGGCGCAAATTACTTGCCTTGCCCTGGGTGCTGACAACCCACGCTACGCCACTGTGTTAACCTGTGAAATGATGGCTCCGTGTGCATATATGTCCCCTAGGGGAAGATTGTGTGCGAATCTAGGTCTATTATTTCAGGTCAGTAGGTGTGGTGGTGGAAACCCTGCTTCTAAAGAGGACTTGCCTGATTCAATCTGAATAGATCACCACCTGGATCAAATCATGAGTCCACTTTAGAATTCACATTCCAGCAAATTCCTTTATGAGATAGTCTGAGGGTTCAGCACTGCCTCTGTTCCTATTTACTTTTTTTCCCTTCTAAAATGTTCCATTCTCTAGTAGGGTTGCCATATGTCCGTAATTTAACTGGTGAAAATAATGTCCGGGGGGGGGATTTCGGAAAATCGGCTAAATGTCCGGAATTTTGAGCTCAACAACTTTGAGTTTCATTATTTTCTAAAATAATGTCTGCTCAATAGCTTTGAGTTTTCCCCAGAAAGCTCAGCAACTTTTACTTCTAGAAATACAGCAACCCTAGGCAGCAGGGAAAGGCCTTCTTGCTGCCATGTGCTTTGAAAGGAGTAGAGGAGCAAGTTCCCCTTGGAGCAACAGGACTGAGGACATTCTGTTGTTCTCAGAGGGCCTGGTGCAGCCTTCATGGACAATTCCCTCTCACAGCAATGGATAAGACTTTGTTGTTGTTGTTTAAAAAAAGATCATTTGCAGTTTTGCAAACCTTGTGCATCGCTGGCACTATTTTAGCTTGGCAAGCAAATGACACTTGCATACTGACCATTCAAAATAGATGGAATAAATGGTAGGTATGCATTTTTTGAAATGGTATCCCCTCCCCCCCCAAAAAAACAATTAATTTGATTTATTTGCTCACTGGTTTGTTTGTTTTTAGTCAAATATGTGTGTGATGGTGAAAAGCATGACTGCTAGAGCATTTTGCTGAGAATCTCAGGTGGGAAGGAGAGGACAGGACACAACCACTACACTGCAGCGTATTCTACAATAACCACAGGAATACGCCAGTGATATGTTTGCAACTGTCCCCCACCCCACCCCATACCGAGCCACCTGCTTGTGCTTATTAACTTAGATATGTGGTACTAGTAAAGCAGGCAGACATGCTTTCTTTCAGTGTGTGCAAGTAGGTTTGAGCTGAGTATTTAAGGTCTGTAACTACATCTGTGGATACAGGGGTGCTTATTTGTGGATTTTGCTGCTGTTGGGGTGATAGGTTGTGCTTCTACCCAGGCTCAGCATATATTTGTAAATAAACTCAAATATCACAGAGAAACCTCCAGTCATCTCTTCATCAAAAGCGAACCAAACCAGCTACACTGCTGAAATTTCTAGGAAATATGAAGCTTTATAACAGTGTCATAAATACTGGTAGCCTGGCTTTATACTGTGATTCACTTTTCATGTAATGCATTGTTTTCTTTTGTATTTGTAGGACTAATTGTAGGATTGACTGACAGCGGATTTATGGATGGGGATACGGTATGGTTTAACTTGTCTGCTACCATTTGTGCCATCTTGGACAATGGTAATTCTTATTTTCAGTTGTTTAATTGACTCATATGCATTTCCTTTTTATTTGTAGCCTGTCTTACCCCAAGGCCTTAGAACACGTTGCACTTTCATAGAATGTACAGGGTTGGTCCGAATACAGACTACACCCCTAAAATGAGATCTCTCAAAACATAGCTTCTCTATTTATAAGAGTGTTGCTATAGACTGCACTCAGCTTTTATGTGAGCCAGATTTGGGGGGGGGGGAGTGTGGCCTATATTCAGACCAATACAGTAATTGTAGGTCTCAAAGTGAAGGTTGTGGTGTGATGTGGTGTGGTTCAAAACCCTAGGATCTGGAGAGCCCTCCCTCATCCCTTTTCTTTGGACAGTGATAAGAAAGAATCTCTGCCTCCTTGGGTCCCAAATTTCAGCTTCTTGGATATGGGAACCCTCATCCCTCAGCATTTAGGGTCTTCTCTCCCTGGCAGGTCAGATTCTACAGCCTGTTTAGGGCTTTTGACTGACGCCAGCCTTGAATCTGGCATGTTGGGCTACTGCCGCTTTCAGCTGTGGTTCCCAGGGTTGCCATTTTTTTTACTCTGGAGTGCAGAACCTCCAAGTGTCCCTATTTTCCAGAGACAGTCCCAGATTTACAGGAGCTGTCCCGGTTTCTGATTTGATCCCAGAATGCCCCACTTTTTTCTTAGGATAGCCCTATTTTCATCAGAGAAATACTGGAGGGTATGGAGTTATCTGACCCCCAAGGCATCTGAAGGCAGCCCTGTATAGGGAAGGTGGTTTTTTAAATGTTTAATGTTTTATTGTTTTTTTATAAATGTTGGAAGCCACCCAGAGTGGCTGGAGCAACACAGTCAGATGGACAGGGTCAGAAAAGTCAGCCTCTGTTCTTGCTGCCCCCTGAACTTGCCTTTGCTATATCTTTTTTTAAAAAATAATGCAGCAAAGGAGCAGGGTTCGAAAGAGCAGATTTCATCACTCCACCCTCTCTTAAAAGCACATAGATCTAGACCTTCTTCAAATGTATATCAGGTGCATGGATTGCCCAACAGATCTGGGTGTCTCAATATGGGTGTAATTTGCCATGTCTATAACAAGTAATGATGGAAGTCTGAGAGATGCAACTCAGGTTACTCACAGTGCCTTTTCTCTCCTCAAGACTGTTACGGACTTGCGCTTGTGGATCTCACCGTAACAAATACTCGTCTTGTACTCCTCACCTCACTAGGATTATTTATCAGTGATGATCTGCGCATTAAAACTGGAAAGCTGTTGCAGGTACATATGTGCACTTCTAAATATCCCTGTGTCCCTTCCCCCCAATCATCTAATGTTTTAAAAACCACTGGTAAGCATACTAAAAAAACCTAAGTTTGGAAGATCTCCAATGCCATACATGTCTGCTCAGAAGACAATCTCATTCAGCCTAAGACTATAACCCTACTATACACATTTCCTGCAAGTAAGTCCCATTGAACATGGTGAGAACTACGTCTGGGTAGGCACATCTAGGATTGCGTTGTTAATCTGTGTACTAATTGTTCTCTCCCCAGTTCACCTGATGAACTAAGTGTATGAAGAGGCTAAGCTGGTTGCTCCAGCTTAGCTGCATGGCATTCACAAGCCATTCTTGTGTTCCTTTATCAATACAGTGGTGCCTCGCAAGATGAAAAGAATCCGTTCCGCGATTCTTTTCTTCTAGCAGTTTTTTCGTCATGCGAAGCAACCCCATTGGCGGCTAAGCGGATTAGCGATTTAGCGCTATTAGCGGCTTAGCGACCTTAGCGGCTAAGCTGTTAAAAGGCTATTAACAGCTTAGCGGCTTTGAAAAAGGGGGGGAAGCGGAGGGGAAATGGCGAGACTCGCAAGACGTTTTCGTCTTGCGAAGCAAGCCCATAGGGAACTTTGTCTTGCGAAGCGCCTCCGCGACGGAAAACCCTTTCATCTTGCGGGTTTTTCGTCTTGCGAGGCATTCGTCTTGCGGGGCACCACTGTAATTTAGAAACTTTCACCACTTTGGAACTAAACCAAATTTTACTGCCTGTGCAACGTTTCTGGTTGATGTGTGTAAAAGCATATGAACCAGACCTTTGAAGAGAATTTGTATGTGAACCATTTTAACCTTACCAAACATGTGGTCTTTTTCTATGCTAGGGGAAGTGGGAAACTTTGGAAGGAACTTGAAAGGGCAAATTTTAAAGGTCTTAACAGCCTGGAGCAACCTAGCCAGATAGGCGGGGTATAAATAATAAAAATTATTATCATATTCCCATGCTTCACTTTTGCTGTATATTTTGTGATTTTAAATATCTGCTGGGGTCTCTCAATAAAGAGTACTTGCCCCAAACTTGGATCTTGGTATCCAGGACTTCTCCTTTGTGTACCTATTTTTTCTTTGCACCAACAGTAGCTTTGCTGCAATTAATAGATACCTCTTATATTAAGATCAATCTCTGTGGCCCTGCTTCAGGAGTGCTACCTTTAGAAGTGAAGGGGGTTGTGACAGGGCCTTTTCTGTTGTAGACCCTTGTCTTTGGAACCCTCTCCCCAGAGAGTTTTGCTGGCACCATTGTTGAATTCTTTTTAGTGATGGGTATGGTACTTGATTTCCTTAGGTGTTTTAGCTGTTGGTTTGTAGCTATTGCTTATTTCCTGTTATCTCACAGGAAAAGTACATGCCCTGGCTAGGTTGCCCCAGGCTGTTGGTGGAGGCAGGATTCTTATGTCACTCAAAACAACCAATGATCATGTTAATAATATTGAGTGTAAGTGGTAAATGAATATATAAAGTAATACACTTGTGAAATTGCTTGTGAAAAGTGTGGGAGAGAAAGTGATGATTCATACAATTTGGTCTTATTGTGTTTTATTTCAGTTCAGCAAACCAACCTTATGTGGCTTTGAAATGGTGAGAAATTGCTAAATGTTGTGTTTGTTGTTCTCAGTGGTGTGTTTTTTAACATCTCACAAATAATGTTTTCTGAAACTCTTTCTGGCATTCATTTTGTTCGCCATTTAGAAATAATTGTCCCAAGGATCATAAATCATGTAGTATACAGATCCTAACAATGAAATCCAGAGACCGTGGTACACTGGGCAGAATGCTAACATTGGCTTAGTATTGACATCAAATGTGTTGCCAGAATACTATGCATTTCCAGCTGCAAGTTCAAATGTAAATGGCAGCACTCTAAAGGAGAGAAAACTTTGCAATATATTGTGATACACACACACACCCCGGCACTGGCACAATGCAATCTCTGTATGCTAGGCAACTGACACCTGCAAGTCAGCCGTGTTGCTTCCATGCCCTCACCTACCTCGATGACACATAGAAGACAGAAGCTTGCAGGCACACACACAGAGCCCAATAAACACAGCTTTCTAGCGACAACACAATTGACAGGAAAACTCACAGGGAAGAAAGGTTGGCTAGCTCACCAGAACCCTTGGGTGGCTTTATGGCTCCCCTTGGGAGACGTTAGACAGAGGATCCACAAATGTCGGGGTCTGAGCAAACAGCGCCTCAGGAAGGAACTTTTTGACAACGTGAGGGAAGGACCACAATGGGACAAGTTATTCCTTCACCGGGAACCAGGCTGAGGTAGCAAACAGAAGGAGGACTTAAGGCCTGCCAGGCAGAAATATGGAATTAAGGCAGCTCTCACAACTGTCATGCCAAAGGCACAAAATGGGAGGTTGCACCTTACACTCCAGCTCTCTTAGCCACACAGCTATACAAGCATCAGAATGTTATTTTTCATTCCGTAGCTTCCCACAGCATCAGGAATCAGTTGCTTGATAGCCAACACCTTGCTTTTTATTTTCTCATAAGACACTGAATTTCATTTCTCCACCCCCACCCCCCATGCTGACCAACTGCGTGGTTTGTAGACAGGAGAATTATTGGGCCGTCTTTGTTTTCATTTTTATTATGTACTCTGTGTTATTTTATTGAAATTTTATGTTGTGATCTGCCCTGAGTTATAGGTTATAGGGTGGTATACTACTACTACTACTACTACTACTACTACTAATGGTTTATCACAGTCGCAGTTCACAGAGGAACTGTGAACTTTGAAGTGCTGAGGGATGTGTGTAGATGAACTCCTTTTACTCTTGTCCCAGTCACAGACTCATCCTTGAGATTGCTGAAGTAACAAGCTGAATGAGGGTTGGGAGAAGGGATCCCGCTTGGCCCATTCCCATTAATACAGAGAATAGAGCTATAACTCACAAAAACTTTTATAAATTGCTTAGAGGCTATTGCAATTAAGCAGTATATAAATTACTGTGATAAAGCAGTGAGTTTTGAAAGCAAGACATAGGATAGTGCATTGTATAGTTCCAGTTGCTAGTTTCCACTTGTGTGCTATAATTTCAGAGGACAAGAGGAATTGGGTCCCATTGAGGCCATATAACTATCCTTTGATCTGTGAATTCCCTGACAAGGTTATATAAACAGCTGTCAATATGTTAAATCAGAATTTTGTGCTGCATGAGAAGAACAGAAAGAGGCAGTGGGGTAGTAGTTTTGGGGAGGCATTTTGTTTCATTTGGCAGGAGCATTTTCACTTAAACCCTTTCTTTTCTCCTGACTATCATTGGGAGCTGGAATGAGATCTTGGGGAAGTTGGTATCTCAACTGCAACTTGCTCTGCTTCTGACATCTCTGTAATTCTGTCTACTTTTGGCCATCAATTCTCTTGAGTTGTTCCGCCACCAGCACCACTACTAATATCACTAGCATTGCCACTAGAAACTAGAAAGCTAGTGCTGTTTTCTGACATTTGACAGTATTGTCCACTGTCTTCCTTGGTTCCACAGAGGTTTTTAGGCAATGTGTGATAGTTAGAAAGGACGACTTGTGCCTCAGCAGACCCTTTCAGAATCTTAACAGCTATACTATGCAAATTCACTTGGCATGCTAAGTATTTCCTTGTCTTTTTCCGCCCACAGGATGATTATCTTAAAGCTGAAATATGGTACAGCCTCCAGTGTCTAGCTAACAAAGAATTATACGAAAGTAAGAAAACCAGGGACTCAGCTAGATTTGTAAAGAAAAAGTGATTTATATGTGTTGAATGTGTAACTTGAATCCATGGGTTCTCCAACGTTATGGAGAAATATAGCTGTGTCATCTAATGTCCTAATGTCTGCTTCCAATGTCTTCATGTAGCTGTTGAAAAGCATGGGGGACAAAATAGCACCCTGCAAAACTCCATAGTGTAAGTGGAGGCAAAGAGCGCTCCCGCAATGCTTTCCTGCAATAAACCAGCTCAAGCCAGAGAGCATGCCTCTCTGCTCATATACACTTATATATTTTAAGGCATGTAACAAAAATAATTTCAAAATTTCACCCTGAGTTCTTTTTAACTGTTCACATGAAACTGGGTTGATGCCTTTTGTAAACTATATCTTAGAAGTGCAAGCACTGAGTTGTAGCTAATATATTTCTGCTTTTCTTGCAGCGGACTATGTTAGTCTGTCATTCAACAAAGATAAGTCATTGAGCCAGGTAAGGCAAATGATGATAAAACCTTATGAAAATATAGTTGGGGTTTGGTGCATTCTGTTCAGTACATAATTTAACTTTCCTGGCCACCTTGGCAAATTAATGTTCAGAAATCAAAAGGACAGTTGAGCAATTTATTACTGGAAGCTTTTGTGGTCGCTATCAGAGCTTTTAGGGAACTGGCTGCCATATGCTATTAGGATAAGTTCAAAGTTCTTGTATTTATTTACAAAGCCCTAACTTGTAGCATAAGGAGCTTATGATAGCATAAGGAGCATCTCAACCTTTAGATCACTACCTGATCACTGAGGGCTTTGGAGGAGTCACTGTTTGGGGTCCCCACACGTCCTTGTATTCACCAGGGCCTTTGGTTCAGTACTGTTGGTCAAAAAAAGCAGGTTCAGAGCCCCAATCCAGAACAGGCTTCTGATCCAGGCTACTGAGTCCCACAACAGTTTCTGGCAGAAAATTCTATCAACCTCACTTCAGTTTGCCTCTGCGGATGCTGTGCAGGAAAATTGAAGTCACAGGTGAGTGATTTTCAGCAGAAGAAAACTGGTGCCAGGCATGATGAAGATGAAGGCATTTTGCAACAGTTTTTTCTTCAAAATAAAAATGGCCAGTTTAAACATATACACAGGACCTGCTTTCTGCCTGCTAGCCATGCAAAAATTCACAAAATGTCCAAATTAAAGAATTATTCTATGCCTCGCTATACGCTCCACAGATTCAGATATCTGAACATCCGCAGTTTACCCACTTTCTTACTCCTTGCATGTTTTTGCTTTGCTAGTCAGTGGCAGCTATTTGGGGGAAGAAACCATGCAGGGAGGGAGGGAGTGAGAGAGATCGGACAAATCAGAGCAGGAGAGATTTGAAAATTTATTTTCCCCCTTTGTCTTTCTTTTGCTGTTAAGCTGCAGCCATTTCAGGAAGAAACCATGGAGAGATGGGACTGGGGTGGGGGGGTGGGGGGGGAGATCGTACAAAAACCACGGTTAGAAACGTTCGCACAGGAATTGATGGAAATGATGTGAATGCTTGCCCATCGAATGATTTCCAGGGAATGCATAGTGTTTGGTTAGCAGGACCTGTGTGTACTTTTTAAAAGCATCAATAATGTGCAGTTTGGCCCTTGCTCTTGTAAAATCTTCTTGCTTTGCTTCTTGTTTGCTTTATACAGGAGAGGCCTGCTGAGTGGAGCACTGACACGGCGAGTTGCTGCCACTTACCAGGAAGGAGGACAGGAGGGGCAAGGTAACGGGGAAACCACTGCTGCATGGGTGCATCATCATCAACATCGTCATGTTGGTGCACCGTACAGCTCTGACCTTTCTGTTGCCTTGGCCCTCCACTTCTCCCTCCTGGTCAGTGGCAGTGGCTGTCCTGCTAGGAGGCCATTGCCCCTCCCCACTAGCCACTCCTGTATATTCAGAGCTCAGTGGATTCTTTAGCAAAGCTTTTAAGTTCAAACAACGATGTATTTCTAAATTGATTACTTTGCATCCTTTTGTTGTTGTTGTTTTTAAAAAAACACAGGAATCTACTTGCTTCTATAGCAATGATACATTTCAAAAATGGCACAGCTGCTTGCCTCACAAAATGAAAGGTGAAAGGCACTTTTCCAGACGGGTGGTTTCTTTTCTCGTTGATTATGAACAGAACACTGGCATCGCTTTGTTATCTCAACAGGTACAATGCATCAAAGGACTCCTTTTTAATAGATAACTCTGAACAGATGGCAATTTGCTGCTCTTGTTTAGAATGGATTCTCATTTTTTGTGATGTGATTTATGGTTTGGTGCAAGAAAGGGGGCAATTAGCAATGGATGGGACAACTGATTGAAAGCCCCCTCTTCCCATTTTCCCTGGCTGACCCACCAATATCAAACCTGTGTCCTGCAATAGCCTCAACTCCCTCCCCACCCCACTGCCAAGCTGGGTTCCTTCAGGAGGAGTGGTGGGATATTAATTAACTAATTAACACATAAACTTCCACAGTTCACCTAAGTTGACAGGGAGTCTATGAATGCCTTTCTGAAGAATATAGATCCTTCTGTTCCCTTTCAGTTCCATGATTCCAATATATATGTTGGATATTTTCTCCAAAACAATGGCTATGGTGATGTTTTAAAAAAGAAACATTTTAAAATCTTCTGGTGCTCTGATCCCTGCAATTGTTGTCTTTTCTAAAACATCTCTTTTTCTTTGTCAGTTACAAATGCCACAGGTGACTTCTCCCTCCCTTAGAACAATAATTAGGCAATATATTTTTGATTGCCCCTTAGAAGGCAGAGGAAGTGCCCAGATAGATTGCATCTAGGCACCACTTCTGCTGCATTCTTAAGGTCAGTAAAAGTGTGTTGTTGTTGAATTGCTCTTGGCCAGTCTTTCCTTCCCTCTGAGGCAGGAGGGCATTCAGCTAACTAAAAGTTCTGATTCTGGGACTCATAGGTGCCAATTCCCTGGGGCCCTGGGTGCCCAAACACCCACAAAATTCCCCATGAAGGGGCCAGGCACCCACAAATTTTGGTGTCAGGGCCAAGCATGCGGCATGGCACCCACGACCCTGGGCACCCACGACCGTGGGGCTAAACTTTCACTCCTGCTGGGACTTTGAGGCCTGTCTAACAAGCACTTTCTGAAGAGGCAGAAGCAGCAATGTGGCAGAGAAGAAAATGAAATCCGTACTTGGATTACTTGATCTTCTTGCAGCAGAAGGGCATTCTGCCCATCTGAGTGCTGTTCTGGCTCCATATGGTAGCTGCTTGAGCCAGCACTTCATGTATGTTCCCTTTTCTCAGCTTCTTTTCTGAACTTAGAGGTCCCAGCCTCTCAGAAAGTGCTTATCAGCTGTGCCTAAGGGATGAACCAGGGCCTTCCCTTCAATGAACGGCATCCTGCCAATGAGAAGGTCTTAACCAGGTATGAATTGGCTCTTGTTAGGGCAACTATACCTGCCCAGTTCTAACACTCTGCTTGGACACTGTGTTTCTGCTGTATAATTTCTTTCTTTGATAATGCATATGTTTAACTGTGTTTCCTTCTTTTTCTTCCTAGAATCGGGCATTGGTATCAGTGCATAAGTTAACAGACGGCAGCATGAATAAAAAAAGAAAATTCCCAGCCTTCTGGTTTCCAGATCCGCGATTTATACCAAAAGGATTGTATTTTCACACAAACAGCCATTTTCTGTATGCATATGGCAATCAGGTGTGTAAGAAGGAAGGTGTATTAACAACTGGCACATAGTGTTGCAAAGGTGGCATGCCAACCCCCAACCTCTGTCAAGCGGTAGCAGGATTCTGGGGGTTCCAGACTCTCACCCTGCGGCCATGTTTCCCTTGAGAATCAAGACACAGAAGTCACACATCCTCCAACATTTCTCCGATGAAAATAGGAATGCCCCATTGCATAACAATAATTCTACTATTTATACCCCACACATCTTACTTGGTTGCCCCAGCACTCTGAGCAGCTTCCAACATATGTAAAAACATAATAAAACATTAAACATTAAAAAAAACCCAGTATACCTGAAAGAGCGTCTCCACCCCCATCATTCTGCCTGGACGCTGAGGTCCAGCACAGAGGGCCTTCTGGCAGTTCCCTCACTGTGAGAAGCAAAGCTACAGGGAACCAGGCAGAGGGCCTTCTCGGTAGTAGTACCCGCCCTGTGGAACGCCCTCCCATCAAATGTCAAAGAGATAAACCTAACATTTAGAAGACATCTGAAGGCAACCCTGTTCAGGGAAGTTTTTAATGTGTGACAATTTAATGTGTTTTTAATCTTTGTTGGAAGCTGCCCAGAGTGGCTGTGGAAACCCAGCCAGATGGGTGGGGTACAAATAAATTATTATTATTATTATTATTATTATTATTATTATTATTATTATTATGTCACTTCAGTGCTGCTAACACAGTGGTTTGACTTCACCCCCAGAGGCGCATTCCATTGTCTCTCAAGACAGATGGATGCCAACAAAGATCTCTTATACAATATTCATTATTGTCTCTCCCCCTCCCTTTTAGGTGTGGATTTCTTATGATGGAGGTGCCACTTTTATACCATTTTTCATCTTAAATTCTGAGGCGATTATAGAGGTAGATTCATGTGTTTACACCCAAGCAATTATATTTGTGAGTGACTCGGCAAACCTTTACTACACTAAGGCAGGTAGGAAAACATTAAAAAGTGGAGTCTCCTGCAGTCTTTGAAGACTCAAATATGAGATTAGGCTAAGAAACCAGGTGCCCCAACCTATATGTTCTCATAGCTAGATAGGGAGAAACAAGTGGAAGCACCTGATGCACCTAAGGAATTCACTCTCTGCTGGGCAGAACCAGGCAGCCCTAAGGGTGCCCAAACCAAGAACCATGTAGACTAGAGACATAGATTCACTGCATCTTCTATGACTTCTACCTTAAGTGAGATTGCAGGAACTTGGGTGACCAACAGCAAAGGCTATTATCTTGTCTCCTGATGCCCCTATTTTCACATTATTCTCCAGGCAATAAAGGCCCTATGCATTCTGCTTGCTGATATCTCATAGTGTAGTATGGTTGGCTGGGATCCAAAGAGCTGTTGCAATCTTCTAGTGGATCTTGGGGACTCTTAATCCACTCATTTGTTGCTGCAGCACCCTGTATCTACCTTCCAAAACCCTCCACTGCAGATCAATCCATTCAGACCATGAGGCACAAGGAGCTTCTTCCAAAAAGGAACAGCACCTCCTTGCATGCTTCAAAGTATTTGACCACATATGGCCTTGTTAGATCTTGGCCCTTAGGAACTATTGTCAGAAGTTGCATAATTTAGATATACTTTTTCCTGTTCAAAATGATCTATTTCCTTATTGCATTGATTAAATATGGGTTGGAAGAGCTGTTGATCTCTCCAAATATTCACAGAAACCTATTATATTCCCCCTTTTCTGTAGGTTCACCGAGATATGCCAAGCTTATCCCTCCAGCAAAGGGTATCTTCAACATGTACTTTGACCACCTGGGAATATTAAATCATATTTCTCTGAATGATTCAATTGCCACATTTGTAAAAGAGACGAGTGTGGATGTGGACACTTTATTGAAGGTTAAGGATGCTTTTGATGCGTGAATGAAAAATGTCTATAAGATTGTAATAATTGTTGTTCTTGTTAAGGACAAACCTTCACTCTTCCAACATGTCAGAGTAGGAAGCTAGTGCTAGAATGGACACTGGAGTCATTAATCCAGCATTTTTTCACCACTATCTAGATATCCTTATAATAGATTTAATTCTTTTTTAAAAAAAAACATTAAAAGTTGATTTCAGAAAAGCCACCATTATAATAGGTTAAATCAAGAAAGATAATTCTTTTGTTCCTGAAAAAAAATAGCTGCTCACTGCTTTCTGAGGGGGGGGAGGGGGGCGACGTTTGTGGTCCCTCGAGCTCTGGCCTCACGTGCTCCAGTCATTGCAGGAAATCTCTCCCCAGTCCCAGGAACCCTGGTCGATTCCCTGCCAAGAAGGACCATTAAAGCTGGCAGTCTGGGCATTGGCTATTGCTCCTGCCTGGCCAGGCAGCAACACCTTGAAAGGCGGTGGGCCTCAGCGGCGCAGTCGGGTCCCAATAGCTCAATCCGAACCATATTTCCTGTATATGTGCCCTATATGCCGAGGGATTGCATTAATGAAACTTCCAGAAAACCATTGAGTTTGCCCCACCCCCTTAGCACAGGCAAAGTCACATAATGCTTCAACTAAGTTGCCACCTTCAACTCCTTCACTTCTTTCAAGTGGGACTTGAAAGTGCTTAGCTTTAACTGACTCCTACCATTATCTTCAGGACCCTGAGCAAATACTGATTTTTAAAAACATAGTCTTGTACTCATTAGAAATTTAAGAGAAACTAGGGAGAAATTTAGTACTATCAGTATTACTTTGTGATTACTGCAGCTATGTCTGTGCTGCTTAATTACCAGTTTCTAAGCAATTTCTTTTCTGATTGCTGTTATAAATTAAATTATCCCTTAGTGTGGTGTGGAGCCAGTGTGGTGTAGTGGTTAAGAGCGGTAGACTTGTAATCTGGTGAACCAGGTTCATGTCTCCGCTCCTCCACATGCAGCTGCTGGGTGACCTTGGGCCAGTCACACTTCTCTGAAGTCTCTCAGCCCCACTCACCTCACAGAGTGTTTGTTGTGGGGGAGGAAGGGAAAGGAAAATGTTAGCCGCTTTGAGACTCCTTTGGGTAGTGATAAAGCGGGATATCAAATCCAAACTCTTATTATTATTATTATTATTATTATTATTATTAATTCCCATTTGTTCCTAAGCTAGTTTAGCAAGTTTTTTATCTATAAACACATGAAAAAAATAATATAATTAATTTTCTCACTTTGTTCCAGGATATTGACTTAGGTTTTGAATTTCCTTTGGCTGTACAGTATATCACTGAAGAGCAAATGTTACTTTTAAACCACGAGCCACGGATGGTAACAAAACATGAGAGATTCAGTAGTCTGCAAAGAGGCAAAAGATTAGATTATGGGTAAGTATCAATAACAGCATATGTTTTGTTAACAAGCAATGTCTTGGTCTGTCAGGTTTTTCTGTTCAATATACCCTGCTATTTTACAGAATATAGCAAAATAGCATCTCTCTAATTTGGTTAAATTGTTCAGAGGGTTGCCACTTTCTTGTTCTGCCTGCTCTTAGAACCACTTTGTACTAACATTTGCAACGTATACCGTGTAATACAAGTTTCAAACAAAACTTGTAAGCTTCAAAAATATATCAGTAGGTGTTGTGTGTGTTGTCAGAAGTTGGAAACGGTTCCTGCAGTGTGTATGATGATGACATGGTTTTCCCATGGCTTCCTCATCTGGGGGGGATGGGGACCCACCACCACATTTGGGAGCAAAGGCTGCTGGAGTCTGCTGTCTTCCAGGGATGTGATATTGCTGGAGCCAGAAGGAACAGGTTCAGATAATATGGCCCATGAAGTATTGCACCTACTAGGTGTACCAAACGTGGAGATTAAGGGGTATTTTCGTGTAATAAGAAATACATTTGATTTTGATTTGATTTAATACTTGTATTCTGCTTTCCCCACAATAACTGTTGAGCTCAAAGTGGCTCACAGTAACAATAATACCATTACAAGTTAACAGACATTGTGATCATGGTAGTAAATTCAAAGCACATGAGAATATAAAGCTAAAGACAAATTCATCAAACAATTACTGCAATTCAATACAAAATCATAAAGATTCAAAATATCAGAAATAGCTGCTGAACAGCAGCCCTGTGCCAGCTGACATGCTTGAAATCACAATTTTCTCTTGGCACTATTTTCCAGCAAGGGAATGTTAGGAACTAGTCGAAATTCGTTAAAATTCATTAGACGTGTGATCTGACATCATCAAGGTGGTATTAAATGTATGCTTCTTTTTAATTTAGGCCAGGAGGATCGTGTATAATCAGAGAGGTTTTTAGGACGCCAGCTCCTCCGGGCTTTATATCATCTGTACTGGTAGATGTTCTAGATCGGTTTCCTGTTGAATCTAAAACTGCTAGCCCTTGTACAGCAAATACTTTAAGAGTTTTGCCCCCTACAGGGAGCAGTATATCATACAGGCTTCAGCTGACTTCTCCAGGTTTGTGCACCACCTGATAATGAAAAGTTTTTGGAAGGAGGGTCTTTGTCTTATGCTAATCACACTTAAGTGGGGAAATATATAGGAAAAGAATTGTAGGGAATACTATTCATCTAATGAATATGCCCAGCATTTCCTAATTTCCTATGTGGCCTCTTTTATATGTTCCTCGCCATCCAGTCATTTTTATTTCTACTAGATCCCTTCCTAAATCAACAGCCAGCCAATCAGTCTCCAACTATGTGTAAATTCATACTTTTCTTATGGAGACAAAATGGCAAAATGAAGGGAGGGTACGGAAGGTGTATCCCAGAAAAGTAAGGTAAGGAGTTAATCTGGTAGCCCCATAAAAAGAAGAGAAAGAGCCCCCAATTTCCAGCCTGTGAATGAAGCATGGGATTTCAGCCTTCACTTGACACTGCCTGCATTTCTGAGGTTTCTGGCAAAATAGAAAGTTTTATGAGCTGTGGGAGTTACAGGGCTGCTGTTGACTAGGAGAGCCACACAGGTAGTGGCAGTCTGTCAAAAATTAGGAATCTAAACTTTATATCAAAGAAGCCATAGCTTCAGGTCAGTTTATCTTTTGTGTAAATTAGGCAAATTCATAGCAGCAGCAGCAGCAACAACAACAACAAAGGGAAATGCAGCTTCTGCACATTGAATGATGTTTTCTTTATTTTCTTGTTTTCCAGGTGTGAATATGTTCAAACCAACCGATCTTGAGAAAACAGTGGTGATTCCAGGCAGTAGCAGTTTCTTCATTATTCAAGTTGTGGATGACCAAAATGCTTTAGGAGATGCTACCATGCCTAATAGGGTGCCTTTAAATACAGACATTCCACCTGGGAGGTGGTTCTTGTATGACTTTGGCACTGCAAATACCAGAAAATGGAAAATTGTTGTTGACATATGTAGATATACAATACAACAATTTGATGACCTACCACGCCATGCCATTAAATACTTGGATATTGGGTCAAAGCTGGAATTTAAATTCAGAGTGACTCCAGTTAATGTAGGTAAGACTGCATATATTTCTTGTCTCTCCGCTCTTCAGTATTCTCTATAAAATGTCTGAAAGTGTTTGAAATCATATGAAAGCAAACTCTTTATAAATTATAATCCTCTAATAATTTAGCTGACATTCAGCAAAATGTATTTTACATATATTTTTATATGCATGATTGCTTTTAAAAATGTAATAATAAATATAATTATAACCAAGATTTATCAAATAAACTATCAAAGCTTATCTGACTTCCATAACTTTTGCAGATGTTACATGCTGTGTGTGTGTGAGAGAGAAGGATTTGGTCATTTGTATCCAAAACTATATTCCATTAAAAATCCTTCAAAAATAAATTAAAAGGCAGATATATTCACAAATATCTAAAAAAAGCACCACACAGAATTCTGTGTGCAATAATAAAATCTTAATATTTCCATCTTTCAAAACATAACAAGTCCTAGATTTGCATTCGATAACATTTTACAGTGGTAACCTCGCAAGACGAAATTAATTCGTTCCGCAAGTTTTTTCTTCTTGCGAGTTTTTCGTCTTGCGAAGCACGGTTTCCCATAGGAATGCATTGAAAATCAATTAATGCGTTCCTAGGGAAACCGACTTCAGACCAGGTCCGGGGACAGTCTGTCCCCCGACCTCTTCTGAAGGCTGGGGGGGGGGGCGAATGGCTTTTCTTCCCACCCCCAGCATTTTAAAAAACCCCGGGACAGCGGAGGACTTCTCCGCTGTCCCGGGGCGATTTAAAAGCCCCCGGGAAGGCAGGCAGCGGGGACAAAGACTTTTGCCCCCCGCCAGCCTTCAGAAGAGGTCCTGGACCTCTTCTGAAGGCCGGCGGGGAGCAAAAGTCTTTGCTCCCCCCTGCCTGCCTTCCCAGGGGCTTTTGCCCCCCGCCCGCCTTCAGAAGAGGTCCAGGACCTCTTCTGAAGGCGGGCGGGGGGCGAAAGTCTTTGCTCCCCCGCCTGCCTTCAAAAGCCGCCGGGGACAGCGGAGAAACGCGCCGCCCGGGGCGATTTTAAACCCGCTGTCCCGGTTTTTTTTTAATGCTGCCGGGCGTCAGCGCTGCCGCTCGGCAGCATTTTAAAATCACCCCGGACAGCGGAGAAGTCCCCCGCTGTCCCGGGGTTTTTAAAAAACCTCTCCGCCCCCCCGCCAGGCTTCGGAGCAGCCTTCCGAAGCCTGGCGGCGGGAGGAGGTCCGAGGACAGTGGGGAAGAGGCGCTGCGCTTCCCCGCTGTCCCGGAGATTTCCTATGGGCTTTCGTCTTGCGAAGGAAGCCCATAGGGAAATTCGTTTTGCGAAGCGCCTCCGCGACGGAAAACCCTTTCGTCTAGCGGGTTTTCCGTCTTGCGAGGCGTTCGTCTTGCGGGGCACCACTGTATATTTCTTTGTATACCCAATTGTTGTTGTTGTTGTTTAGTCGTTTAGTCGTGTCCGACTCTTCATGACCCCATGGACCAGAGCACGCCAGGCATTCCTGTCTTCTGTATACCCAAACAGAAGTCCAATTTGTTATATGTATTAATTCAGCCATTGAAATAGCAAATGCCTTCAATTTGCTTATTTGATCCTTAATTGATGGTATATTGGAAAATATGTTATTTTTTGCAAGGAATTCATCTTGATTGCTAATAGTGCTGTTGCTAGAACAAACAAAAATGACAACAGGATTGGGGAAGAATATCCATGGTCAAAATGATGGTGCTCCCCAAAATGTTATTTCTATTTCAAACGATCCCCATAATAAAAGGCACAAAAAATTTTAAAGAATGGCAAAGGGCGATTTCTAGATATGTCTGGGAAGGAAAGAAGCCCAGAATTAAGTTTAAGGTATTAACAGATATTACTGAAAGAGGGGGCTTCGCCCTACCAGACATGAGACTGTACTACGAGGCCGCATGCCTTTGTTGGATAAAAGAGTGGATAAAGTTGGAGGATACAGAGCTATTAGATCTGGAAGGGTATAAGAATAAATTTGGGTGGCATGCGTACTTGTGGAGGGATAAGATAAGAGTGCATAAGGGATTTTGCAGCCATATCTTTAAGGGACCTTTGATAGACGTTTGGAATAGATACAAGAACATACTAGAACCAAAAACCCCACACTGGTTATCCCCAATGGAGCTGATAAGTGTAAAGAAAGTTAATATGGGAAAAAAATGGGGCAGGTATGAAGAAATGGTATTGAAGGAAGGAGGGAAGTGGAAAGTAAAATCATACGATCAGGTAAAAATATATACATACGATTGGCTGAGCTACTTTCAGATAAATGAAATATTTAAAAAAGAGGTGAAAGAGAGGGGCTATGAAGAAAAGGCATCGAAATTTCAGAGAGAGATAATAAATAATGATCGGAAAAATCTGTCAAATATGTACAAAATATTGTTAGAATGGAACATGAAAGATGAGAAAGTTAAAACGGTGATGACTCAGTGGGCAAAGGACCTCGGCTATGACACTCAATTAGAGAATTGGGAAAAATTGTGGAGAGTGAATATAAAATTTACAGCATGTGTGTTACTAAGGGAAAATATGTTAAAAATGTTATATAGATGGTATATAACACCCGTAAAACTAGCTAAGATGTATAAAACAGACAACAAATGTTGGAAATGCAGACAGAAAGAAGGGACGTTCTATCACTTATGGTGGGAATGCGGGAAGGTTAAAAGCTTCTGGGATGAAGTTTATAATGAAATCAAAAAGATATTAAGCTATACCTTCGTAAAGAAGCCCGAAGCTTTTTTATTAGGCATGGTGGGAAAAGATATCAAAAGAAAGGATTGTAAAATCTTCCAGTATGCGGTAACAGCAGCCAGAATCGTGGTAGCGCAGAAGTGGAAGCAGGAAGAAGGCCCAACGATAGCAGAGTGGAGATTAAAACTGACGGAATATGCGGAGTTAGACAAATTAACAGGGAAAATTAGATATATTAAGGATCAAAAATTTATAGATGACTGGGGAAAATTTGCGGACTATCTGGAGAACAAATGTTTAGTAAATACAACGCTAGTAGGTTTTAAAGAGGCACTGTAAAGCACTAATAAGTATTGCTTATTGGAAACAATGTATGAAGAGTGGTATTAATGGCAATATGAAAGATTGGAATGCGTTACAAAGAAACAAATACGAATGAATGTCAAGGACGTTGAAGGAAGTCCAAAAGTATGAGATGTACGAAACACGGATATAATGTATATATATGGGAATATCAATAAAAAATTTTAAAATGCAAAAAAAAAAAAAAAATGACAACAGGATGAGCCCTGCCAAGCACCTTTAGTTAAATTAAATGCCGATGAAGTAATCCCATTTGTATAAACTCTTCAGAACAGATCTGTTTATTCATTATGTTTGTCAGATGCTTTCTACAAAACCTCGGAACTCGAACGTAATCTATTCCGGAAGACCATTCAACTTCCGAAATGTTCAAATTCCAAAGTACAGCTTCCAATTGGTTGCAAGAGCTTCTTGCACTCAAGTGGAAGCCAGACAGATGTTCGAGTTCCGAGGAATATTCGAAAACCGGAACACTTCCTTCTGGGTTTTTGGCGTTCAGGAACTGAAACGTTCGGCAACGTTCAAGTTCCAAGGTTTGACTGTACCATGATAAATGGTACTGAAAAGCCACTGAGAACTCCAAGAGAACCGAGAAGGTCACACCTCCCCTCTAAATCTGTCTTGGTAAAGGTCACTCCACATGGCATCCAAGGCAGTTTCTGTGCCAGAACCAGGCATGAGACCCAACTGGAATGGGCCCAGAAAATCAGGGCTTGGAGGTAGCCACCTACCAACCACTTGAACACCTTCCCCTTCATTTTGAAGAAAGGTTTGTTTCAAAATGTATATGTCATATAGATTTTGAAACTAGCGGGATATCCTATTGACTCCCATCCTGCCTACAGATCTTTATGCAACTCTTTATAAGTTATAATCCTCACTCTAATAATTTAACTGAAATTCAACAAAATGTATTTTACATATATTTTTATCCTATTGACTCCCATCCTGCCTGTAGATCTTTCATATGGATTTCTCATTTTGATGTGCATATGCACACAGATGTATATGAAGTAAGGGTACACTGGAATCAGCCAAAATCCTCAAGTATTTTTCAACCCAACTGCAGTCTCAGAGTGGAGCTAAGTTTTGCCTTTTGTGTGAGGTTGTTCTACAGGAAAGAAATATTGGAAATTAACATCATTCTCATTGTTGTTTCCTTCCACAGCGTATAATGTGTTTCATAATAGGCTAATGTACATTGCAATTGGAAGGCCTTCTCTACTGGATGTGAGCACAAACATTTATTTTGACGACAACAATAGCAATTTAATCGATATCACTGTTCATAGTAAATTTTTTGAAAAGGTAACATGCTGCCAGCTCTTTTTAGAGTACCTTGATAAAGTACACACAGCTTTAATGTGCATTCAGACATTTCTTCTCCCCGTGTTTTTGTACAAAACAAACTTATGTTGGTTTTAGACCAGTTTAGGCTATGGCTTTCCTCACAGAACCCTAGAAATTGTAGATTAATGAGACTTGGTTGCTAGATGTGTTGGGCATTCATTGCAGATGTTAGTAGGTTTGGTGGTGAGCTGGCAGGGAGGGGCCAGCTTGTGTGCTGGGAAAAGGCATTGGGTTGGATACTTAGTGTAACCTGGGGGTGAGAGGGAGCCTCTCCTGTTGGACATGTAAAAATCTCAGGGTACCCTGGTAAAGGCGTCTGGGTTGAAATCAGAAGGTCCAGATGACATGAGGTGGGGGTGATGGGCCAAAGGACTTCCGTTCAGTGGCCAGGGGCTGTCAGCTTAGTTTACCAGCATCTTGAGGGGACCCTTAACCCAGGACTGACATTGTGAATAATCATCCAGCAGTCAGGTAGGATGATTTGGGATACACACCCAATGCCTATGCCAAAACTTCATGGCCAATTTATTTCCAAGTTCTTCTCATGTCGTTTTTGTTGCTTACTTCCCAGTTCCCAAGGCACACTGCGCATGGGCCTGCAATCCCCCTCCCACAAGCACAAGCCCATTTTAAAAGCTATAAAATGTTAATCAGCCAAACGCCTGAGAAACATTTTCACCTGGCAACTAAAGATATGCAATGAAGGCACCAGGGAAGCCTCCCTAGGGGAGCGTTCCACAAATGGGGAGCTACCACAGAAAAGGCCCGCTTTTGTGATGGCACCCTCCAGACCTCTTGTATAGAAGGCACATGCAGAAGGGCCTAAGGTTAAAACTGTAGGGTCCTGGTTGGTTTTTATAGGGCGAGGCGGTCCTTGAGGTATTATAGTCCTGAGCCGTTTAAGGCTTCATAGGTCAAAGCAGCACTTGGAATTGGGCCCGGAAACTAATTGGCAACACCTAGAACAGGCTGGATCCTGGACATAAAAACTAGCCACTCATAGTGTTACACTCCTTTTGTGATTCAGCTTGTTTATCTTCTCATCTTCAGGCATTAGTTTAGCACAGACACAGCTAGACTTACTGAAAGCAATGGGATGCAAGTTATTCATGACTACAGTGCAATTGTATCGTACACAGGCGTTCAATTCAAAACATTCTACATATCTGCAAAAATGTGTATACTCAAATCATTGGAACTGAACCCCTTCATGAGCATCCTGGGCTCCAGAAGCCCTGAAGTGCTCTTGTGAGATCTCACATGTCTATCCAAGTTCTCTCAAAATCACCCAGGAGCATCCAAGGCCCGTCACACACAGAGGCAAAGCAAGGCAGAGAAAGCTTAAAAGCTATTGTAGTTCTATTGTTATGAATGGGGCCCAGTCCCAGCTAACTTTACCTGATGTGTGACCCTTGTCTTGGTATGAATATATTGTTTGTCATAGGCTTGTTTTGGAGTATTAGATTAATAATATTTAAAATGTTCCTGTGAGAGAGGCATTTGTCATACGAGAATTCTTAAAACTATTCCAATGGACGACAGAATTTGGAATTCTTCTAGTACGTACAATGCACACATGCTGTGCTGGTGAAATGAATGCAAATGCCTTACATCAACAGCCATGCTTGCATGGATAAGGCTCTATGGCAGGGGTCAGCAAACTTTTCTACCAGTGGGCCGTCTCACTGTCCCTTAAATCTTCTGGAGGGTTGGACCACACACGCATGTGCACACGCACGCACACACACTGGTGGAGGTGGGCTTCTCTCTCTCCCCCAGGCCCTCCCCTCCTCCTGCTTTCCTACCTCCTCCGGCGGTGGTTGAGAGCCGGTAGCGGTGGTGGCACCTCTCGTTTCTGGAAGAGCTTCCCAGGTCTGGGCCAGTAGGCATGCCAAGCTTCGGCCGAAGCCCCACAACATGCCCACAGGCCTCTCTGTCCATGGCCTCGCTGGCCAATCTGAAGCCTCGCCGCCTGTGTGCTGAGGAAACCAGGGACGGCTCTCAATTGCCCAGTGTTGCTGCCCGCCCAAAGGCATCCATGGCTTCGAATTGGCTGCGGGAGCTTCCTGAAGCCAATCCAAAGCCACCTGCATGCCAATCGTGGAAGTCAATTGCCGCACTGTGCCAGTTTAGCATGGGGACTGACCAGGCAGGGTCCTCAGGCTGGATTAAAGAGCCCCTCTGGCCTTATCTGGCCCACAGACCTTAGTTTGCTGACCCCTGCTCTATGGAGTCAGTTACATTAGTCGAAAAACAGTGCTTTAAATGCATTATAAACATGCAACACCAAATAGTGCTGGAGAAAAAACAAACAAACAAAATTCTTTGCGATTTTCCGTAGTGTTTGTTTTCTTTTGTTATAATGATTTAATTTCTGACATATTTATGGTGGGTTTCCCCCCTGTGTGTAGATCCATCCTATGATGAGAAGCTAATTATATTCATCTATGTTGGAGACCAAGTAATGTTATGCTTTTTCATAAACATCCCTAGGGTAAAAGCACCATAGCTGTGATTATCGCATTGGGATCTCTCCGATGTGAAGTGATAACTCTTGTCTTAACGCTGAAGAATTCCTGCTCCTATCTTAAATCAATGCACTATGTTCTATCTGCTAAAACCTCTCCTTCGGACTGGCTAGTTGAGGATGTCAGCGCTGAACCAAATGGCTCAGCGATTGCCAGACTTTTAAAGCAGCTACCGGTAAGGATCCTAAATCCTACATTTTAGTTTAGAATTCTTTCGTACCCTTTCTTAAATGTTCTGAACAGGGGAAGGGCACAGATGTACCCATTGTTCTATGAAGCCCCGGGATACATTTTTCCAAAGCCATACCCAGGCACAAGTCTCCTGAGTTGGATGGATTTAAGTGTGGCCCATGAAACAGAGAGCAATGCTGAGGACATCACTACACTCTCTGGCATCTGTGTCAGTGAAGCAGACAGGTAAAAGCTAACTTTTCTTCTGATAGAAGGCAGGGTCAACATTTCCAACTGTCTTTTTTAAAAAATCAATTTTTTAAATGTTTCATTAATAACAATCCTATGGAGGCCACATTAATTCGATGGCAAATCATGCCAAATCACAATACAATCAAAAGAGCCAACTAAACAGTTCTGAATTAAACATCCCGTGTTCTGGATATCAGGAGTTGATGTTATTCCTTGATCCTGCGCCAATTCTCTTAATTAGTCCAAGTTCCACAATTCCGATCTTAATCCTTTGTTCTAGCAGCCACTGATGTGATGACTTTCAATCGTGTTTAATAAATCCAAATCCATTAACTTGCAGAGGGAATTTATATTCTGTAGCTGTGTGAAGTATCTGTTTACCTTCTTCTTTTCTTTAATGTTGTAATCAGTCAATTTTCTTCAACATTGCCCCTCCATTGAAAACTCATGCGTAGGTAAGCTCAATTTTGCCTCTCTGAAACCAAAAGCAATCCAGGGTCCGGCCGCGACTTCTGATTAACTTCCAGTGTTTATCTCCTTGTTTTTTCTAACAAGTTGGCGTCTCACCAAAACAGTAGTAAATCAGAATTAGAGCTCTCTTTAGTTGGCAATGTTACCAATCATCACAGTATTCCACACAGTCTATTCTTTCAAGCACTCCGTAAAAAAATTATAAGTTCTTCTTGAATCCCTCTTGCATTCCCTATATAGTTGTAATCCATTAGTAATTTCATTCCATAAGTAATTTCATTCCCTTCAACCACGTAGCATTCCAGTTATGATAATGAGAGTTCTCCTCATATCAAAACCTTGGCACTCAGTGGCTGATTCATTTCGCAGGTTACCATTCTCTTTCTTCCAAAACACGTCTGTTTCTTAAGTCCAAATTCAGATACATCTTAAAAGAAACAGAGATACCTCCGCTCATGGCGACTGCATCGGGGAGTTTCCAATACGTGCAGTGCTATGCCCTCTGCGTCCCTTCATTACGTCTGGGCTGCAGAGCTCTTCTCAGGATATTTGAATCAGAAGCCCTTTTATTTCCTTTCCCCCCTTTCTTTTCTTTTCCCACTCTTTTATTATTTTCATCTTCATGTTTTTCCCCTGCCTTCCTTTGGTCCTGCTTTTGGTGTTGTTGTTTTTATGTCCTCTGCTCTGGGTCAATGAGGGGGTGTATGCACATGAAGGTGAGGGCTGGCTGGTGAAGGACCCTGTGTGAGAGGCAGGGAAGGGAAGGTCTCCCAGGGTGGGAGGCTGGAAGAAGGGAAGCTCCCAGGTGAGATCTGGGAGGAGCCACCCCCTTATGTGTGAGACACGGCTTGAGACCTACCTTTGAGAGAGGATTGCATTTCTCTCTTTCTCTTTCTGTTTTCATTTAGATTAGTTTGCTTTTTTAAATTTGTTCTTTCATCTGTATTAATAAAGCCTTAATAAAATTTTATTTAAAAAAAAAAAGAAATCTGTGCTGCTGGTAATAAGTGTATGTATACAGGGTTGGGGAGATGATACAAACCAGTCTTATTTTTCATCATATAATTTCCCCCTTTTTTCATTTACAAAGATTATCATACAAATAAATTTATATAACCAATTAGAAAATATCAAATCATTGACCCCCCCTTTCTCTGCTTACTTATGTTTTATCTTTTATCACTGCATATCCAATTCATATCTATTTACTATTTATCCTTTGTATTTTATTTAAATTATTTTCACTGCACATTTTTATGTCAGTCCCACTAACGATTTAAGTTGCTTGCAAAATTTCTTCAAATAATCAATAAATTTTCCCCATTAAAATGTGTTGTTTTTCATACAGGTGAACTACAGGCCACCATCTGTTTTGGGAATTGCTGTTCCACTCACAGAAAACTTCTATAATGCTGACCCCAGCAAACCTAAACTGAGGGATTATTTTACAAATTCAAAAGTAAGTCTTCATATATTTTTTTTATAATGATGTTTTATTAAGTTTAAAAACACATAAACAAACAATAAAACACAATAACAGCACAAAATCTCACAATACACAAATACAAACAATTAACCTAACATAAACAAAAGAAAAAAGAAAAAAGGAAACTCAGTACACACCTAAAAATATCAAATATAAAAACACAAATCACTCTTTCCCAATTTCTTATCTTTTGATTAACTTACTTTCCTGACTTCCTCACGCCTCCCTTTTTTGTATCCCTTTTTAACAGTTCTTTCAGCAAATTCATATCATTGTCCTTACTTATTTTATCTTTTTACTTTATAATTTCCAATTTTAATCTATCCTGTTACTGGAACCCCTTCATTTCATTTCAATGTCATCAGCATTCATACATTTTATGATACTTCTGTAAATAAATTTTAAATTTCCTCCAATCTTCTTCCACCGACTCTTCTCCCTGGTCTCGGATTCTGCCAGTCATCTCCACCATTTCCATATACTCAATTACTTGGGTCTGCCATTCTTCCAAGGTGGGTAGATCTTGTGTCTTCCAGTGCTTTGCGATGAGTATTCTTGCTGCTGCTGTAGCATACATAAAGAAAGTTCTATCCTTCTTTAACACCAATTGGCCAACTATGCCCAGGAGGAAGGCCTCTGGTTTCTTCACAAAAGTATACTTAAATATCTTTTTCAATTCATTATAAATCATTTCCCAGAATGCCTTAATCCTCGGGCACGTCCACCAAAGATGAAAGAATGTCCCTTCAGTTTATTTGCACTTCATTGTTATCGGGCAAATGATAGATTTTCACTAGCTTGACTGGAGTCATGTACCACCTATACATCATTTTCATAATATTCTCTCTCAAGGCATTACATGCCGTAAATTTAATCCCGGTGGTCCACAACTGCTCCCAGTCAGCAAACATAATATTATGTCCTATATCTTGTGCCCATTTAATCATAGCAGATTTTACCGTTTCTTCCTCCGTATTCCATTTCAACAGCAAATTATACATTCTTGATAATATTTTAGCATTGGGTTCTAACAATTCTGTTTCCAACTTTGACTTTTCCACCTGAAAGCCAATTTTTTTGTCCTGATTATAAACCTCTCTTATTTGAAAGTAGTGTAACCAGTCTCGCACCTTCCCTTTAAGCTTCTCATAACTCTGCAATTTCAGCTTGTCACCTTCCTGTTCTAAAATTTCACAATACTTTGGCCATTTTTCCTCCATATTGAGTTTTTTCATGGCTTTCGCTTCCCTGCCACCTTGGAGTTTTATTCTCCAAGAAATCTTTGTATCTTGTCCAGACATTATATAGTGCTTTCCTGACAATATGGTTTTTAAATGCTTTATGTGCTTTAACCTTGTCATACCACAAATATGCATGCCACCCAAATACATTATCATAACCTTCAAGATCTAGGATGTCAGTGTTCTCAAGAAGTAGCCATTCCTTCAACCAGCAAAATGCTGCTGATTCATAATAAAGTTTAAAGTCCGGCAGGGCAAACCCCCCTCTATCCTTAACATCAGTAAGTATCTTAAATTTTATCCTGGGCTTTTTGCCCTGCCAGACAAATCTGGAAATATCTCTTTGCCACCTCTTGAAACAGTCCATTTTATCAATAATCTGTAATGATTGAAAAAGAAACAACATTCTTGGCAATACATTCATCTTGATGACAGCAATCCGACCTAGCAAGGAAAGCTTTAAATTAGACCAAATCTCTAAATCCTTCTTCACTTCTGACCAACATTTCTCATAATTATCTTTAAATAGATTTACATTCTTAGCAGTCATGTTCACCCCCAAGTATTTTACCTTCTTTACCAATGTCAGATCTGTTTCATTCTGAAACCTCTCTCTCTCAATCGGCGTCAAATTTTTCTCCAAAACCTTAGTTTTTAACTTGTTTAACTTAAAGCCTGCCACCTGGCCAAACTCCTGAATTAATTCTAAAGCCCTCTTGGTACTGGGTATTGGCTCTTGTAATGTCAAAACCAAATCATCTGCAAAGGCTTTAAGTTTGTATTGTTTAGCCCCAACCTGAATACCCTTAATCAGCTGGTCCCTTCTGATCATATTTAACAAAACCTCCAGGACGGAGATAAAGAGCAATGGCGAAATTGGGCAGCCTTGTCGTGTCCCTTTCTCAATTTTAAATTCGTCTGTCACCATGTTGTTTACTATAAGTTTCGCCTTCTGTTCAGAATAAATCGCACCTATACCATTTTCAAAATTTTGTCCAACCCCCATCCCCTGCAGATTTTTCTTCATAAAATTCCAAGAAATGTTGTCAAAGGCTTTCTCCGCGTCCACAAATATCAAAACCGCTTTTGTGTTAATATTCACTTGTAGCTTTTCCAAAATGTTAATTACATTTCTCATATTATCAGATAAATGTCTACCAGGGAGAAAGCCAGCCTGGTCTTTATGTATCATTTCTTTTAAAACCTTTTAAAATCTTTTAGCCAAAATATCAGCAAAAATTTTGTAATCCACATTAAGCAGGGATATGGGACGGTAGTTCTTAAGTTGTGTCTTCTCAGACTCAGTTTTAGGTATAAGCGTTATGAAGGCCTCTTTCCACGACTCCGGCGCCTTTTTCCCCTCCAGAATTTCATTGCACACCTCCTTTAGTGGTTGAATTAAATAGTCCTTCAAAGTTCTGTAATATTTGGAGGTTAGTCCATCAGGTCCTGGAGATTTTACCTATCCTGAAGGCAGACACTATCTTGAAGTCCTTATCTGGCTCTAGGCCCCAAAAGTCCTCAAATTCCTGTGTAAGGGATTCACACAAGTCACCTCCTTCCACGTCCGGAACCGCCCTGATTCTTAGGTTATTCTGTTTATCTTTTAATTCAATTAGAGATAGTTGGGCCTTGTGCTCCTCCAATTGCTTGTTTATTGGGAGTATCTTTCCCTCTACCTCTGTCACCTTCTCTTTCGCTTCTTCAGCAATTTTCCTTGTCTCTTTAGATTCCTGGAGCAGCCGGTCGATAGCCTGAGTGTTGGAACTAATGGTTGTCATATTTAAATCAATTTTGGCTGACAATTTTTCCAAAGCTCCAAATATTTTGTCCAGTGATGCATTTAATGTCTCATCAGGGCCTACTCCCTTCGTTCCTGGTTGCCCAGTATCCTCTTTCTCTGGGAGAGATGGAGCTACTATCGACTGTCTTCGTTGCTGCTGCCTAGTTTTTATCCTTTGAACTTTTTCCTGGGGTTTATCCTGATCCATAACTTTATCTTAGAGTCCCAAGGTCGTTCTCACCACTTGACTTGTTTTGTTATAAAAATCCAGGCCAGCTGCAATGGAAATTCCCCAGTTATAACTCAGTCCTCCTCTAGGGGAACACAATGGCAACAATGTTCTTTTCAAAGTAACTTTGTCTGAAGGCAGCAGTATCTCTTTTAACTTTTTAACTTTCCAACTTCCCCCTAACAAAGTAACTGTTACAGAAAGAAGGTCTTTCAGTCCAGTTCAAATACAGATTAAACACATAAAGTTACAAAGTCTCTAAATGGTGCAATTCTTTACAATTTTCTGGCAGACCAATATCAGGGATTAAGTGGTGGTCTCTTCTTTCCTCCTGCTTTTTTCCCTTTAAAAAGGTATTTTCTTCTCCTCCCCCCCACTCTGAAGGGGAGTTCTTGGTTCTGGCATTAAAATTAAATCTTTTTAGATTCAACTTTCACAAATAATCTTTGCTTTAATCCTATCTACAAGACCGGAAGACGGACTTCCTTTTTACGTCTTCCCCGGTTCAGAGCCAAATTCAAGTTCTTTGTTCTGATCAAAGGAACAGGTCTTTTAATCCTTTGATCTTTCCAAGTTTGAAGATCTTACTCACGGGTTGTAGTTTCCAAGTCGAATTTCAAAGAAGAAAGGACAGCGCTCTCCGGCAATAGCTGCAGCGGCTTCACTCCACAGAAGTAGCGATCGACTCTCAGTGCCGCGCCACCCCCGCTCCGCTTCGGAACCCCTCACGGGGTCCCTCTGCCACTTGGGGGGGCGCTTTTGGCACCCGCCGAGTCCCACGGCCGCAGGCTTCTCCCGCCTGCGGTTTTTGACAGGGTCTCCGCTGTGCCATAGCGGACAGACCCGATTTCTGCGGAGCTTCTCCCTCACTATTAGAGGAAGACCGCCATTACCGCTGGCGCCGCCTCCGGAAGTCCAAAAGTAAGTCTTCATAGCTACTCCTGTAAGAATTTGAGAATGCGCATTTTTCAAAATTGCTATCCATTTTGCACTCTGTGCTATTGCATGTTCTTTACATACACATACACACATTAAGAAAAGAGATTTCTAATAAAGAGGAGAATCTTGAAATTCAACTTCCAGATGAGCATTTCTATAGAGTTTGCCCCAGAACTTAGGCATCCTGCTTGCACATACTATAGACTCAACATCTGTCTTCTTCCCACTATAAATAGCTGGTTTTCACATACTATTCTGAGAAAAATAACCTGAAAACCTGGGCTCGAATCCTTATGTTTTAACTTTATGGCCACCTCATGGCCACCTCATATCACTTGCCAAACCTTTGCAGTAATAGGACAGATCAGGATCAGAACATATGTTGACACAATTGCCCAACTACTTTCCACACACTCAAGGTAAATATACTTTAGGAGCTATGGAAACAATTTGAAGCACCCAGAGCAGTCAATATGAGCATTTCCTTTTTTTGCCCTAGGTGAACTCTACTGTCTCACCCCGTTTTACAATCCTCCATGTTTTCCTGTTCTATCAACAAGAGGCAGCAGAGGATTGTATGCATAGCTCCTTTTGCACTATTCCATATATTCAAGATAATGATATTTTACATCTGATTAAAGACTCTCAAAGTCCACAGTATCAAGGCTGCTTAAGAATATGGAGAGTGTAGAGAAGAAAAAGGGAAAGGCTGAAAAGCAGGCAGAGGACTTCATCTGCAAAATCATTTGCTGTCACCCAAGAGCCCCAATGTCCATTCAGCTCATTTGTCTCTTGCTCAAGAGAATGCTTCTCTTCAACCCAACTGCATATCACGCTTCCTGTTCACTAAGGAACAAGAGTTATTGCATAGTTCTCTTTGCCCTGACTCTCCCTTTCTTTCTAACAACCTTTTCCACCAAATTTGAACGTAATGGGTTCTCCAGTCCACTAATAGTTGAAAAACTATAGACTGATTCAGAGGCCAAATGATTTCCATTGCATATGTTTGTCTACTTTGTAAGCCTAGTCGAGAATTACCTTGATTATACCTTCTTTGGGACACAGGTGGCACTGTGGTCTAAACCACAGAGCCCAGGGCTTGCCGGTCAGAAGGTTGGCGGTTCAAATCCCCACAACAGGGTGAGCTCCCATTGTTCGGTCCCAGCTCCTGCCCACCTAGCAGTTCGAAAGCACATCAAGTGCAAGCAGCGGGAAGGTAAACAGCGTTTCTGTGTGCTGCTCTGGTTCGCCAGAAGTGGCTTTGTCATTCTGGCCTCATGACCCTGAAGCGGTCTGCAGACAAACCCTGGCTCACTCGGCCAGTAAAGCAAGATGAGCGCCACAACCCCAGAGTCGTCCGCGACTGGACCTAACAGTCAGGGGTCCCTTTACTTTTTCCAACAGAATTCTGGACGGTACAAGCAATGTGCTGGCAAGTCAAACCGCTCCGAATGTGGATGTACAGAAAATATGAAGCTGTCCTTTTCTGTTGCCTTTTCTGATTGCAAGGAGAAGGTAAGGGCTATGCCTACATGTGCAGCTTTTTGTTTGTTATTCGGAGGAGTTATATAGTATCCTGGAACCATTACATCCAGTATGTAAAGTATATAAAAATAACAGTACATTAAGAAACCTAAGAAGATAAAAATACCCTTAGCTAGTGCTGAGAAGATGACAATGTTGTGGCAGGCAAACATCTCTGGGGAGGAAATTCTGCAAATAGGGCGTCATAACCAATGAATCCTTTCTCTGGCTGCCTTCTGCCATGCCAAGGAGAATTTCTAAAGACTCCCATGGTTCTTCAAGGTACTGGGTTCCCAAGCCTTATACAGCTTTAAAGGCAAACTTTGAATTCTGCTTAGAAATGAACTGGTAGCTAGTGAAGCCTTTTGAGCCACTGACAGTTACTAACTTAGCAGCTGTATTCTGCAGTAACTGCAATTTCTGAGCAGTCTCCAAAGGTAGCCCCAGATGCAAACCAATACAGTAGTCAATCCTTGTTAACAGATAACTGCGGCCAGGCTATTGCTTTCCAGAAGAAGCTGCAGCTGGCACACCAGCCTAAATTAATGTGAAAGACATTCCTTCCCACAAAGGCTTATCTGGTTCTCCATTGACAAAGCTATATTTAGGAGTGTGCTCAATCTAATAATTTGATCCTTTAGAGCAGTGTTTCCCAACCTTTTCCCTACCATGGCCCTCTTCTGACCTTGTGTTCTTCCTGTGGCCCACCCCACATGGACGTAGCCAAGAGGGGGGCATGGGGGCAGCTGTCTTCCCATAAGTAAAAATCAATTAAAATCCATGCAGAGCCGGTGGAACGCTGCCAACGGGCCCTACGCTCATCGGCAACATCTGATGGCCCTGATCCACTAAGCGCTGAGGTGGATTGCACCCTGCACCTTGCAGAGTCAGGCCAGGCTGCCACCGAACCCAGCACTGGCAGCAACAACAAGCAACTCTGGCTCGCCCAGCCCTACCCATTGCCACCCCACCACCGCACTTAGCTGACCTGGGAGTTCTGGACTGCGGGCTCTACTGGTCAAAACGGGAGCCTCAGCGATTGCCCTCTCTTTCTGGAAAAAAACCAGGACTGCTCCAAGAAAACACATGTGGCAAAAAGGAACGTTAGGCCCTGCTGGGCTGCCTCCTTACCAGCTTGTGAAACGCTACTTTAGAAGGAGTGCAACCTTATGCATAACAGATTTAACAGATGTGCCACCTACCCACAGAATCTCAGACCTTCTGGGACTGATTTTCAGTCCATTAGCTTTCATTCAGCTCATTACCAATTTGTAAGTCAGACTTCCTATTTAGCAGAACTAAACCAGCTTATGTAAATAAAGTGGTACCTTGGGTTACATACGCTTCAGGTTACAGACTCCACTAACCCAGAAATATTACCTCGGGTTAAGAAATTTGCTTCAGGGTGAGAACAGAAATCATGAAGCGGCGGCACAGCGGCAGCAGGAGGCCCCATTAGCTAAAGTGGTACCTCGGGTTAAGAACAGTTTCAGGTTAAGAACAGACCTCCGGAACGAATTAAGTTCTTAACCCGAGGTACCACTGTACTTACATTTGTGTCATTCCACATCGATCCATGTAGGCATCATTTTAATGTCAGTGATTTCTATATATGTTTCATTGCCAGGCCCTGCGAATGAAATTCCCAGTATCAAGGCTTCCTCTCTATTTCACCATTGAGGATGAGGGTCGTTATGTAAATCTGACATCTCCTTATTTTATCACAATCATAGAAGTCAACAACAGAACCAACTGGAAAGTTTCAGGTAGGGAGCGGAAGAATCTTGGGATTCATCATTATCTTTTGTATCGGAGAGGTTCTGTTGGAAATACTTGTCGTCAATGTCTTTTCAGGCTCTCTTTCTTGCCCTATAGTAGGTGTGAGGAACCTTTGGTCCCCTGTATGTTGCTGAATTCCCATCATCCCTATCCATTGGCCATGCCTGCTGGGGCTGTTGCAAGTTCTAGTTCAGGGAAGACTTGATGTGGAAAGATTTGAATCTAGTCCTATTCTTTCTGCATGCAAAACCTATTACACCCACAGACCCTTAAGGCCTGAAACAAGCATAACGCAACCCATTGGTTTACCATGTGTACACCCCTCCCCCTAGCTGTTCTTCCTCCTCTAGTTCTCCTGCTAGCTTTTACCATGACTAACAGTTATGGTGGCACTTCGGCTATAACTAAGAGGAGTTCAGGTTAACCAACATTTCATATGAATGTTTGCCCACACCCCTCCTTTTTCACCCACTCGTGATAATTACCAGTAATCACTGTTAGTGCTTTTTTCTGGGGGGATTCAGGGGTACACATAACCCTAAACATTTTGTGAATCTAAGTTTGGCCTCATTGAGGGGCAGTATTTCAATATGAGTAGAAAAATGAGAGTACCCCTAAACTTTTTTTAGAAAAAAAGCACTGCTGTTTGTTAACCTCTGGAAAGCCGCTGGAGAAGAGACCCTGTGCAGCTCTAATACATCATGGTGTGCCTCTGATACCTTTCTTACTTTTACATTTCATGAGACATAGATCTGGCTATTCATCTGTATTCAGGCCCTACTGAAATGTAAAGAAGAAGGAAGAAACTCAAACCTACCACTCTGTGACTGTTTTAACTGTTTTTTCAGGTACCAATCAAACATCAAGTATGTTAAAAATGAAAAAATATTTGGAGCACAGACTCAAAACTGAACTATATAATCCAGATGGCCTATCTATAACGATAACTGTAAGTGCCAGAGAAAATACATAGTCTTTGGGAAGGAGACAGGAGGGCTCTAGGATCCTGTCAGCCCTCACAGCTCCTTCTCAGCACTTACCCAAATTAGAGAAGGCAGCATGAGGGCTGGGGAAGGGGGCATCAGATGTTGCTGAGGGGTGGGGGGGAAGCCTTGAGGGCCACATGTGGCCCTTGGACCACATGTTGGGCCACCTGCAATATACATTTGACATTAAGTAATTTGCATATTAAATCAAAATATCAGAAATTCACTGTTCCAAGGATATAACACAACTGCTAGCAACACTGATTTTAAGGCTGTAGTTATACCGACATGGTACTGCACATTATTTCTGTGAAACGTTTCAACTGAATTAATAGCCAAGGATTACAATTTTAATTAAAAAATGAAAACAAATGTTACTGCATATTAGTAACAACTTTCCCCCCCCCTTTCCAACAGGGATCTGAGCTTTTCCATTTCAGGGTATCAACTATTCCTGGAGTCTCCTTTTGTAACTTATTTGACGAATTTCAGGTATTGTCATTAGCTCTTTTTTAAAAACAACAACACACAAATTACACACAGAATGAATTAACAAACATAAAATAGGATACAAGATTGTACAAAATGTTCCCACATATTTAGCTCTTACTTCAGCACATTCCCAGAGAACAGCAGGAATTAGCGGGTGCAAGGGGGACTGGACTGGAGAAGGACACTTTAGGGAAACGCACAGAAGTGGAAGCTAAAGCAGACTGGAGCGCTTATATATATATATATATATATACAGTGGTGCCTCGCAAGACGAAATTAATTCATTCCGCGAGTTTTTTCGTCTTGCGAGTTTTTTCGTCTTGCGAAGCACGGTTTCGGAAAAGTTTTGGAAAAGCTTCAAAAATCACCGAAGTCTTCAAAAACCTCAAAAAAGGCTACCACACCGCATGCTATGAGTTGCTCCTCGAAGTCAAGTCGCAACTGTATTAACGGTGTTAAGAAAAAGGAAAGAAACTTGCAAGACGGAAACGCCCATAGGGAAAATCGTCTTGCGAAGCAACTCAAAAAACCAAAAACCCTTTTGTCTTGCGAGTTTTTTGTCTTGCGAGGCATTCGTCTTGCGAGGTACCACTGTATGTATGTATATATATATATATATATATATCCTCATACAGGGTGTGTTTTTTAAAAGAGGCCCCGTGGAACATGTGTACTCTGTATCCACAGGGCCTCTTCTAAAGGACTCACCCTGTATATATGAATGACTTTCTGGATGCCAAGGCCCAGGTCTGAGGCAAGTACTCTTTAGTGACAGAAGCCCAGCAGATATTTAAATAGCACAACTGTGACTTCAGTCATTGACTAAAAACACTGCAAGGCAGGAGCAGCCTCTTAGCTCACAAAGCAATGGCTTTGAATGGTGCCTGAAGATTTTGCTTTGTCACTTCTGTTGTACAAGCTCTAGAAACTTAATTGTGTGTGGGTTTTTTTTAATTAACGTTCTGAGTTTGGGCCATGTGCTGGCTCTGGCACAGCAATATGCCCCCTGCCCTCTTCGCAGGCCTGCCAGTGCCAAACATATGACCATGGAAAGGCTGCCATCTCAAACAAGAGCTGATAGAGTCACTTGGATAATTTGGGCCAGGTTAACTTTCTGCTCCAGCCTTTCCAATTTAATGCCTTCCAGGTGATTTGGGACTGCAAAGGGCTAATGGGGATGGGAGTCCCAAATGTCTGGGAAGGCTAGTCTGCTCTGGCTGGCAGCACCTCTCCAATATTTCAGGGAGAGTTCCAGCATGGTTGCTGCCGGCTCCGCCTCCTATTTAAGCAGTTGGCCCCGCCTCCCTGCAGGGCTGATTAGCTAACTGAGCTTTGGTGGGAACCTCCAATGGCTATCACAGGGAGTCAGGCCAGGCCAGCCAGCTGGTGGCTCCCAAGGGGCTGGGGTGCTGCACGTGGTCCCGCAAAAGGCTCCCACAAGGAAGGTGTGAGAGCTCATTCTTAGCCCATACTTTTCTGGGTATTTTATTTTACGAGGTACAATATAATGCAGTATCTTGCAACAAACTGCATGCAACGCTTACCAAATTGGTTTCCCTATAAACTCAGATGACTGCTTCTCTTCCCCCACCACTAGGATTTGCATATGCCAGCTTTCGCTATCACTTAGACCAGTTTCACTATCTTGTTGTCAACATTATGAACAATAGTCAATTTAAAGGGAAGTGACTGTTGGAAATACAATATTTTCTGTTGCAGATTTATATTGACGATTCTCCACTGGCATTCCCAGGAAACTATCTTATCAGTTCAATGACGTCTATATTAATTGGAGGCATTATTTTTGTGGCATTTATTCTGTATGCATTTGAAATTGAGATAAGGAACTTCTTAAAAAGGAAACTAAGAAGAAATAAAGTGGCATCAAAACCCCCACCCAAGAGAGATTCAGTAAATTCTGGTGATTCTGAAAAAAATTGACTGGCAATAGTAATAACGTTATAATAATGTGTTGGTTTTTAAAGTTGCTATAAGATCCGCCTGTTGCTTTTATCAGTAACTATGTTCCACAAATGTTAATGGTATTTTTTTGAATGAACATATGTACAACTATTTCATCTTTAGCTGTAGTCTTTCTGTGTAGGAAAAATATTTTTGAAAAGATGTGAGGAATTTTCACTTGTTGTTCCTTAGGATGAAACGCATTTAGTCGCTGCTTGTCATGAATTTTACTGAAGTTTATTGGGCAAGATCCCCCCCCCCTCCAAAAATGTCACTGAAGCAGTATACAATAAAATAGTTCATATATTTAAAATACAATGCATTGCTAAATGTGTCTACTTGCGCCTCTGCTTATTTTATGTACCGGTTATTTCTTGATTAAAGAGGTCTTCTTCCTCCTATTAATGTACATATGTGTGCAAACTATGGTATTTCTCCAACCTAATAATAATAATAATAACAATTTATTTATATGCCACCCATCCGGCTGAGTTTCCCCAGCCACTCTGGGAAGCTTCCAACAAAAAATTAAAAATACATTAAAACACCAGTCATTAAAAACTTCCCTAAGATAAAGCTTTTCTTCTGCATTATGACTATTAATAGTATTATATTTCTGCAATGCAATTTTATCCACCGGATCATGGTCATCAAAAGTTACAAATCCCAAGCCCCTCTTTTTACCAGATTGTCTGTCTGTAATTATTTCAATTATGTCAATTTTTCCATATTCTGAGAAGTAGTCTTTAAGGTGATGTTCCTCAGTATCTTCTTTAATTCCACCAACAAACAATTTTTCCACAGTAACATGAGCTCCAGGTTTTCCAAATTCCTCCCTGGCTGCGGCTCTTTTCAGCTCAACCACTCTTGCCTCAATGGAATGAGGTCTGGCAGCCATTGCTGCATCAACTTCAGCCATGGAAGAGAATGTGGCAGAACCAAATTCTCATGAGCGGTTGCTTGCAGGGTCTCTCATAACTAGTGATGTTAAATTCTCAAGAATTCTCGATTAATGAGAATATTAGAGAATTTTCATTTAAAATAGGAGAATGTTCATTTTAATGCATTGAAAATGATTTTAGTTAATATACATGTTTATTCATGGGTAAACTTGTTCAGATGGCAACCAAAAACTGTAGAGATACTTATATTCAATGGGGCAATGCAGTGAATTCCCATTCTTTCATTTTTTTGCACCAAACCTGCTATTGAAAATTCAACGTGAATGATTCACGTTAATCACTAAGCCTGCCACTAACTGTATATTTACCATCAACTTTGAATTCTAATTATGTTGTGTATGTATAAAATGTAGCTTTTAAAGTAAAAGGAATATAAAAATAACTCAGGTCCGCTACATGAGTCCGTTCACTGTTGACATATAGGGAAACCTGTTGTTTAGTAAAGGAACTACAGTGAAAATATATAAGCACAAGCCTACTTGTCACTTGCAAGTATCAAATTAAAAAGTAAAACATGTTTCATAGTTAAAGTTAAACCATTCTAAGGTGATGGCACCAGTAATTGTCATGTTAAGGTTTAGTATAAGGAAACTCAGTAGTTATATCTTATTTTATTTCCATTAGAACATGTACATGATATAGGACAAGTCAAAAAAATACAATTGGCATGTTAAGTTTTGATACAAGCAAATTCAGTAATAGGCTCTCTTGTGCTTCTAATAGCTTAATAACTGTTTTGGTGACTAAAACACAGCTTGATAAACAAAACTATATGCATAAACATATAAAAAAGAAGCCATTAACATTAAATATATTATCATTATATGATAATATATTTCAGTATGTCAGTCTCTGGTAAATGGCACCTTGAACCATTGAATGGCACTGCAAAAACTAGTTACTGGCAATAAATAAAAATATAGAAATCTCAACTGTTTCTATCAAGGCCACATCACACGCTGTTACACATAACTGTATAGTGTATAATTAAGTGTTTAAAGCATTAAAGCTACTTTCTGTAAATACAGTGGTGCCCCGCAAGACGAATGCCTCGCAAGACGAAAAACCCGCAAGACGAAAGGGTTTTCCGTTTGTGAGTTGCTTCGCAAGACGAATTTCCCTATGGGCTTGCTTCGCAAGACGAAAACGTCTTGCAAGTTTGTTTCCTTTGTCTTAAAACCGTTAAAACCCAGGGTGCATTGCTTGAAGAGGTGCAGTTGCAACTTGACTTCGAGAAGCAACACATAGCACGCGGTGTGGTAGCCTTTCTGAGCTTTTTAAAGACTTTGCAGAATTTTTGAAGCTTTTCCAAAACTTCTTCTGCAGCCATTTGGTAAGTTAAACTTTTGAAACTTTTTGGGGGGGTTTTGGATTTTGGGTTGGGGTGTTTAGAATTCAAGGACTTGGTGTTGGAGAGAGGTTTGCAAGAAGCTGGGAGCTTGTGTGGGTTTTTTCTGCATTTTTCTGATTTTTTGTGACCATTGGGCCATGTTGTTATTTAAAAAAAAAATTGTGGGTTTTAAATTTCTGTGTGCTGGCTGGCTGGGGAACACTTGGGGAGGGGTTTGCAAGGATCTGGGAGCTTGTGTGGGTTTTTTTCTCCATTTTTCTGATTTTCTGTGACCATTGGGCCAGGTTGTTTTTTTAAAAAAAAAATTGTGGGTTTTAAATTTCTGTGTGCTGGCTGGGGGAAGAGTTGGGGAGGGGGTTGCAAGGATCTGGGAGCTTGTGTGGGTTTTTTCTGGATTTTTATGATTTTCTGTGACCATTGGGCCATGTTGTTTTTTTATTTAAAAAAATGTGGGTTTTGAATTTCTGTGTGCTAGCTGGCTGGGGGAACAGTTGAGGAGGGGTTTGCAAGGATCTGGGAGCTTGTGTGGGTTTTTTCTGCATTTTTATGATTTTCTGTGACCATTGGGCCATGTTGGTTTTTTTTTTAAAAAAATTGTGGGTTTTAAATTTCTGTGTGCTGGCTGGCTGGGGGAACAGTTGGGGAGGGGTTTGCAAGAATCTGGGAGCTTGTGTGGGGTTTTTTTTTATTTTTTTTATTTTCTGTGACCATTGGGCCACTCTGCTGTTTTTTTTAAAAAAAAAATTCTGGATTTGAATTTCTGTGTGCTGTGCTGGCTGGCTGGGGGAACAGTTGGGGAGGGGTTTGCAACAGTTGGGGAGGGGCTGGGGGAACAGTTGGGGAGGGATTTGCAATTTCTGTGTGGTGGGTGGGTGGCTGGGGGAACAGTTGAGGTTTTTGAAGACTTTGGTGATTTTTAAAGCTTTTCCAAAACTTCTTTTGCAGCCATTTGAGGATTTTGAAGACTTTGGTGATTTGCAGCCATTCGGTAAGTTAAACTTTTAAAACTTTTTGGGGGGTTTTGGATTTTGGGTTGGGTGTTTGGAATCCAAGGACTTGGTTCTGGGTTTGAATTGCTGATTTTTTTTTTCCTGAGTTTACGAAGGTAGGAGCTGTGCTGCCATGGGGCCCAAGAAGACTGCTGCTGCGGAGGCCGGCGAGAGGAAGAAGGAGAAGGTGACGCTGGAAATGAAGAAGGAGATCATCTGGAAGCACGACGGTGGAATGCGTGTGACAGACCTCGCCAGGGAGTACGGCAGGAACCCATCGACCATCGGCACCATCCTGAAGATGAGGGAGAAGATCCTTGCGACTGATGCAGCCAAGGGAGTCACCAGGATCGTGAAGAACCGCCCAGCTGTTCTGGAGGAGGTCGAGAAGTTGCTGCTCATCTGGTTGGAAGAGAAGCAGCGTGCAGGGGACACAGTGACTGAGGCCGTCATTTGTGAGAAGGCCAAGGCCTTGCATGCTGACCTCATCCGGGAACAGCCAGGAACCTCAGGCAAGCCAGAAGTCTTCAAGATCTGGAATCCACAGCGTGGTCAGGCATGGAGAGGCTGCCAATTCTGATGTTCCTGCAGCTGAAGACTTTGCAGCGGAGTTCCTGGAGGCTGTGAAGGCGGAGGGCTACGTTCCACAGCAGGTCTTCAACTGTGACGAGACCAGGCTGTTTTGGAAGAGGATGCCCAAAAGGACTTTCATCACACAGGAGGAGTCCAAGTTGCCTGGCCACAAGCCCATGAAGGACCGTCTGACCCTGCTCTTCTGTGCCAACGCAAGCGGCGACCTGAAAATCAAGCCCCTGCTGGTGTACCACTCGGAGAACCCACGGGCCTTCAAGAAACAAAAGGTCGACAAGGAGCAGCTGAGTGTCATGTGGCGATCCAACAGTAAGGCTTGGGTCACACGTGTGCTGTTTGTGGACTGGGTCAATCTTGCTTTTGGCCCTGCTGTCAAGCAGTACCTGCTGGACAACGACCTGCCGCTGAAGGCTTTGCTTCTGATGGACAATGCTCCTGCTCATCCTAAAGGCCTTGAGGTGGACTTGCTGGAGGAGTTCAGCTTCATCAGCATCATGTTCCTGCCGCCTAACACCACGCCACTGCTCCAGCCGATGGATCAGCAGGTCATCGCCAATTTCAAAAAACTCTACACCAAGGAGCTTTTCAGGCGATGCTTCGAGGTGACTGATTGCACCACCATCACCCTGCGGGAATTCTGGAAGGACCACTTCGACATCGTCACCTGCTTCAAGATAATCACCACGGCCTGGAACGGGATCAGCCAGAGAAATTTGAATTGCGCTTGGCGCAGCCTGTGGCCGGACTGTGTGGCACCAAGTGACTCTGATGCACCAGAGTCAACAGTGGTGCAGGACATTGTTGCCTTGGGGAGGACCATGGGCCTGGAGGTCACAGAGGAGGACGTCAGCGAGCTGGTGGAGGAGCACGACCACGAGCTGACCACCCAGGAGCTGGTCGAACTGCAGGCAGAGGTTGCGCAGGAGCAGGCCTCGCTGGAAGAGGAGGAAGCAACTGAGGAACGGCTGTCCTCCAAACAACTGAGGGACATTTGCCAGAAGTGGAAGAGGTGCAGGCTTTTGCACAGCAGCACCACCCTGACAAGCACATGGCACATGACCGGGCGAACACTTTTGATGCGACGGT